TTTGTAAAAGCGGACTGACTGATTATAATTCCTTAATAAAGTTTTTCTTATCTTATCTTTTTATGAATGAATGAACTAACTAATAAATAACTAAAACATCTTACCTTCAAAGTCAACTTGGTCCCACAGACAGCGCACTTAAAGCACCCACTATGGAAGAAAGTGAAGTCCTTCAGCGGACCGACCCGGTCCACCTGGTACACTATTTCGTTACACCTGAAGCAGGTGCTCTCGTAGAAGTTGGGCCTGTACATGGTCACGACATAGTTCGCGCACTTCACAACACTTCACTGAGCTTCACTGAGCGTCACTGAGCTTCACTTGTTTACGTACACTGCCGCCTGTGGATTGACACGTTATAGATACGTTTTTGTTTACGACAAGATTCTTTTGTGATCGATTTATTTTTTTGAAACGTCTTTTGTTTTTGATGTGCGTTTGTTTTCATCGAGATTGGCTTGAGTATTTATTGAAAGTTCGTGTTTTCTAAATTTTAAAAAGTTTCGTGATTTCATTTGTTTTTATTTACTTTGGTTTTAGACAAGATCAGCTTAACATCGCTTGTCGTGTTATTTATTTAACTTTTTCTACTTTTGAAAAGACCCGTAGATTTTATTTGATATTGTAAGTGTCTACTTATACATATTCATAAGAGATCGATTTTCTTTTCTACTTTTACAGGTTTTTTGTAACTTTTGATATCAAATAATTGCATTTCCTAGTGAAGAGACAATTTTTCTTTTCAAGTGAAGTAGAGTGTAGTTAATTTCGTTTCAAATTAATCTTGTAGTATGTGGTAGAGTCCAAGACTATGTATTAAAAACATTATTGTAAAGTGAAAATTATGCACCACACGAAGTTGTGGATTTTAAAATAATACCAATTCTTAATAAAATAGGGCTGTCCGAATAAAACTTCACCTGTGCCACTCAACTTTATCGATCTACAACACCCTCCGTTTGTGGTCAGTTGGGGTAAACGACTGAACTACCACCGCGAAAGCATGGTGATTCGATGTAGTTTAGATTAGAATTAATGATGCCTTGCTGGCATTATCCAATTTGGCCTATGAAAAGCGTTTTTATAAAAATGCTTTAAGCTATTAATTATATGGTCAAAGATTGGTGTAATTAGATAATAAATTAGGTATTGATTTTAACTACTTTTAGCTGATTTTCCGTAGTTTATCAATCTCTATAATATGATTTTGTAAAATTATTGAATAAAGTCGTAAATCGTTTTTATTTTAAACTTGGTTGGAATATTTTACTTTATGACAAAAGTAGTTTAAAAAACACCTCGGTTTATAATTTTCCTATCTACTGCCTACTTCGACTAATTTCCCCCATTGAGTGTGTGACTCATGTCTGTATAATAAAATAACACTCCTTCTGGCGCAGTCGGGTAAAAACACAGAGAATGGAATCGCCGCCGCCATGCTCTGTGGGTAAAAAGTTTGGTGTTGCTGTCATCACCTTACTAAGTAGAATTTACCGTGCTTTGTTTAATATCGGTAAAAAACAAACAAAAAGCCTGAGAAAATCAACTCTATATGATAATTTGACCAATAAAAAGTTGTTCATTTGGACAATTCAAAGATTTATAAAAAAATATTAATTTTCTGACTTAGTTTGTTAATTAGGTCTACTTTACTGTTAATAGAAAACTATTGTTCTCAAGATCACAAGATTTGTAAAGCTTAGGTGTTTGTAAGAGTTGATAAAGAATTAAAAATAAATTGTTTTAGCTCTATCTCTAGTTCTCTACATAAATATTGTGTAAAAACATTAAAAACTTTCTTGGTTCATTTTCTATCATTAATATTTTTGTAAGTAACACACTGAAAAAAAAATTATTAAGAGCCATTTGAACTGGGAAAAATGATGTAGTTTGGACTTTATTTATTCAAATAATTTGTAAATACTACCGAATAATTCAATTTATCCAAAAATATGTCGCTACTTGACATTACCATTTCAATTTAAATTTAATTTTATTGACAGTATAGTTAGCCACGACAGATTTCATGTTTCAGTCATCTACGAGCCTATTTATCAATAGTAGTGGAAATTTTATGCCCCACAGTGTTGTTTGTATATTTGCTGCAGACTAAGGCGGATCTTGACGAAAACACGTTCACCGGACTTAAAAGTCGTGCAATAATTGTATCACAAGTAGTTAATAGTAATCAGCGCGATCTAATCACCGTATAGTACTGGTCACTGCGCGTTTTTCTGCGCACGAGTCCGCAATTTGTTGATTCCTCGGACGTAGAGACCGTTAATTTTGCGATACAATAGCATCTGTTCCTCATCCGAGTGCATTATTAACTAAGATACGCACGCTGGTTGCGTGTTGCTTCGGGCTGGGGCGTGGGACAAGTCAGGAGATTGAGCGAGCGATACAATCCTATAAGGCGCAAGTACACTATGCGTCAAATGGCCAAGACGTAATAGTGTGAACACCATCTCGTTTACTTTCTCCTTCCCCCATCCGTGCGTCGCCCATACTTCGGTGTGTGGCTAGCGCTTCGACTTGGACAACTTTCCGCATAGTGTACTTGCGCCAATAGGTCTTATATAAATAAGTAGAGACGACGGTACGTTGAGCTAAATACTTTGGTATCTATGTGCTTGTAATAAGGCCAACTATGCAACAAAAATGTGCATTCAGATTGCTGACGTCTGAACATAGTGAGTGAGTAAATAGAGAAAGTCCCAAAATAAGGGTGGAGCTAGAGTTGCACTACACAAAGCGAGAGACTGTCCACATGCTCAGAAAACACAATTTTTATTTTTAAAACCAGGCATCTCTCTCTCTTTAGTTTTCGTTCACTCATAGGCCTGGTTTCCACCAAAGCGCACATCTTGTGTTTGAATATCCAGTCAGATTTCGTCATTTCCATATCACCTCAGCTCTTCGTTATTCGAACACCTCTCCTCTCCGTTTTGGTGGAAACCAGGCCTTACATAATTATTGAAGTTTTATTGAAGTAAAATAAAATAGAGAGAGAGAGAGAGCTAAAGTTAAAGACACTAGTTCTAGAGACAGTATTATTGGCAGGTAGTTGCTAATTGCTCATAAGATAGGCCCCCTTAATTTAATTTATTGTCCGTGGTGCATAATCTTTTTCTTAAAGGTTTTAAACCTTTGTTTGTCNATAAAAAAAAAAAATATATTGAAAGATATTTATTAATGAAAACGTAAAGGTTTGCTCCCACTAGGTGGACCGACGATCTGGTGAAGTCGACGAGTCGTTGTCCATGGGGATGTTTATCCGTCTACCGACGTCTCTTGACTAAATTTCCCCAAATAAAGTAAATAATTTGCCCGTGAGAAAATTTATCACACATTTAAATTAAAAAATCAACATTATTGTAACTAAGTAGGAAACTAAAATCACAGTTATCTCAGATATTCGAGGAATACTACATTACATGATAATATAGAAGCGAAAGTATTATCACTCAATAAATTATACCTAAAGCTCACAAATAACGTTTATCGTACACGGCTATATGAGGATAACACCTGATAAACTCCACTCGACCCGAATTTAACCAGAGAGGTCAAATGTCTGATTTTATTTGTGTTTTCCAAAATATTTTAATACAAACCCCGTCGACTGCATCACAATATTTGTCGGGGCAATTTTTACCCTACTATGGCGGAAGGAGGATTATGTGTTTACATAGACCGCGTCACACCTCAATATCATCTGATGGTTATTTAGACAGCATCAATACTATTTTTTTAGTTAAAAAGTTTAGTAAATTGTAACTCACAATTACGACACTTGGTACGAAACGATTAACTTCGCCCTTTTTCTAATAATCTTCTTCGCATCTTATTCCGTTATTAGGTCCGGTAGATTTTTGATACTTTAATCGTATTCTTCTAAACAATCTTATTTTAATTATATTCCTCCCAAATGCTCAGTGTTCTACAAATATTCATGGTTAATGACGTAGGTCTCAGGCAAAATAAATTTTAATTAACTCAGAATATTATCTCCTACCAATAAGTCAAATAGAACTAAATATATCTAAGTTGATATGTAATATGAGCAGACATGAATAAAATGAACAATATTTACATATGATAATGATTGTAAATACTCGGAAATCTAGCATTTTAGTATTCCATATCAATATAATTGTGCTAACATAATATTCTCAGAATGATACAACTTTCCTCGGAAAATCTATTGTTTTATGTTTAACAGAACTTGAAGATCAGGAAAAATAACATGAGAACATGATAACACTAAGTTCGTACGTCTTTGGAAGTCCCAATAATGAAAATAATAAAATATGCCATTTGTAGTCTAAGTATACATAAATATGAAATTCCTAACTTAAATGGATGGAGCAAGTATTTTTAACGATTTAATTTTATTGTTATTGTTTTAAAATTCTTCATTATTTTATATTATTGCTTTACATTGATATTGGTTTTTCCTGGCATTTAACAATAACTCGTGTTAAATTGTATGTTTAGATAATTGACTTTCTTGTACTCATGATTTCATTTTCAACCCTAAAGAATAAGGCTGAGTTGCACCACCTAACTTTGACGGGAACTATAACGATAACCGGTGCTTATTATATATGGAGTTTGACAGATTTTTGACGTTTGTTAGAGTTAAAGTAAAATGGTGCAATCCAGCCTAAGATGTTAATGCCGCCATATTGCCTATAATTATACCCTTCAAGCCGGAATAACAATACGTAATTGATGGCTTGTGGCCAAAATACTCGTACTTCGTAAGTGGGCTGGCCCAATTACTCGCATTTAGGCCTGTTGAGGAATATACAGCTGTATTACTTGTAAACAATCAAAGATTATGTTTAATGAGCATTGGTTTGAGAACAATCGCTTTGGCAGTCAAAATTGACAAAGAGACCAGCACTTTGTTAAAAGAGCGTAGTATAGTCGTAATATAATGGAAATCAAATAATAGAAAATTTAATTTCTTCTTCTTCCTCGGTCCCTCACTGATGAGGATCGCGACCACATATGGTTTGTCTCCACAGACTGCGGTCATAAGCTGTGTGGACCGCACGATGCAAGCTTCCACCCACCGTCTTCCTCACCGCGTCTGACTATCTCGTCGGTGCCCTGCCCCGAGCACGTCTGTCTTAACTCGGCCTATAGTCTTTTTCACCTAAGATGATCCGTATGACGTTTCGAGTTTGAAAGATTTAGAGATGTCACATAACTAAACCATAGCGATTTATCTATCGATNATTAATCTAAATTAAACATGTTTATTTTTACATGTAAATAACAACTTAAGCCCGGTCGCCGAACACGTAGAATTTCGTCCAATGACCCCAAATCAAATCAAATCAAAGCGCTCGCAAACTCACTGCGGCCGCCCGTCTCACAGTCGCGACAGCAATATTATTACACGCGAGCTTGGGGTCATTGGACGAAATTCTACGTGCTCGGCGACCGGACTATAATAGAGTTAGAATTACTGATTCACCATACATAACTCTAAAAAGACAATAACAATAAGTATTATTTCTGAATCAATAACCTAGGATAATGCACCCACCATTACTATTAGAAAGGCTCAAGCAGGGACTTTAGAGAAAATGTAGTAAACTTGTTATACACAAATATTTGTTGCTAAAACTCATCCATCCTCTTGTCATCAGTCGGACGCACTTCCTAAAAAAAGCGCAGAAAATTCTAAAACCACACTCAATACCAATACAATTTACTGTTTCAGGCCGCATAAGAACGTTACTGAGAGACAACCTAAAAGGCACATCCGAGTTTCTTCTACCAGACGTGATACACAATCGCATTCAAACTGTGCTGAAAAGCTCATCCGATCTAAACGATACGGACCTACGGAAGATCCGTATACTCTACAACATGCTCAAGACTGCAATAAAAAACGAAAAAGCATTGCTAGATAAGAAGTTAACAGAGAAAAAGCCTGTAGAGAGAAAGGTTAAAAAGGATAAAGAGAAAAAAGAAGAAAAAGTTAAAACTGCAACGGAGGAAAAGAGAGAGCAGTTAGTGAAGAAAGTTAGAGGGAAGAAGAGATATGTGGTGTTTATAGGAAACCTACCACTAGATATCAATAAAGAAAAGGTAATATTCTTGACCTATTATTTTTCTATAGTCCGGTCGCCGAGCACGTAGAATTTCGTCCAATGACCCCAAGCTCGCACGCCACGCTCGCGCGTTATTATGTTGCTATCGGGCTCGCACACTCGCTGTGGCCGCCCGTCGCACAGTCGCGACAGCAATATAATTACGCGCGAGCGATAAGGATGGGTAGCTAGGGGTCATTGGACGAATTTCTACGTGCTCGGCGACCAGACTTTATCAACGTTAACCCGTCCATACTAAGCTAAAATTAGTTTGAGTTACGATGACGAGTGAGTTCACTAAAATAATCTAGCGGTGACGAGGTTTGAACTACTGACACTCGGCAAATCCGGAATCGTCAGTCCGACTTTATCTGTATTATTTTCAACTGGTCAGGGCAAATCAGTCCCTCTGGAGGTGTAGGCAGAAGCCTACACTTCCTTAGCTGATGTCTACTTCAAAATGTAGGAAAAAGACAAGAAGACCCTACAGATATACGATGACACGACAGCCGATCGAGTGAAGGGGTCGGACTGGCCGACCCGTGATCCGGGGAACGCGGGTTCGGTCCCCGCCGCCGCTCGACTATTGTGGTGAGCTCACTCGTGATACAAGCATACTTAGCTTAGTAAGAGGGGCTAACGGATATAACAAATTACTAATAAATCTTAAAAAAAATGATTTTGAATAACATTTCATTGCAGATAATCAACCACTTCTCCGAGATGAACGAACACATCGTAGACGTGCGGATCCCCAAACAAAAGGAAGCCAAGAAGAGCGCCATAGCCTATGTCGAGCTCAAGAACGAACCTAGCTATGAGGTATGTTTCCTGTGCCAATTACTTACGCCCGTATTCACAAACATTACTATGAGGTCTCACAGTGCGCGTGGACGCACCACAAACCAATCAAAATGGATGCAACTGATTACAAATAATTCGATGGTATCGATATTTCAAAATATCGAGGAATATGACATTGTTTTTTTATTTAGAGGACAAATCCCTTGATCCTTAGATATCTAGGGACCCCCCACAGCTCAGTAGTTTCAAGACAGCTTTGAGTATAAAAATCTATGAACTAATGCACACTTACATTAGAATGAGTTTTATACATACACTAGCGGCCGCCCGCGACTTCGTACGCGTGGATCCCGTTTTACCCCCTTAGGGGTGGAGTTTCGTAAAATCCTTTCTTAGCGGATGCCTACGTCGTAACATCTACCTGCATGCTAAATTTCAGCCCGACCCGTCCAGTGGTTTGGGCTGTGCGTTGATAGATCACAGTCAGTTAGTCAGTCACCTTTGAGTTATTATATTTAGATTTCATATAACTCTCATGTTATATTATTTCAGTTGGCATTGTCTAAACACCACTCAATGCTGGGCAACCGGAGAATCAATGTGCTGTACTCAACACAAACGAACAGCAAAATTACTAAAGCAGAAGCAAAAGTAAGTTTCACTTCAGTCACTAATTTATCAGAGGTAAATAGAGAGTTTAATCTACACTTCCCACGCTGGCCAGACGGGTTGGGGAGGCCTAACATTCGCGATTGTCCCTAAGACATGCACGGAAAAGTAGTCCTATAATACTGACCTGGAACCACACGCCTTATTCCCACTATACACGTACAGCTTGAAGCAGCTACAGTCGACCACTTGAAGCAGCAGCATTATACGTACACACATACACGGAACTGTAATTGTACTATACCCGGGACAAACTTGACCTTCACTGGTTAGATTTTTATTGGCGGTCAGGCTGTAGATTCTGGCTACACAGGAGTTGCAGCGGTGGGAACGAGAGGTGGGAATAGTCTCATATACACGGAACTGCTCAAGCAGTTGTGATTGCTTCGGGCGGTTGGCAGTGTGGTGTCATAAAACTCATTTTATTTTTGCTAGAAGGTTTTTTTTCTCCTTTTTATATCTGCAACTGACTTGGGTCATAATCAGTTGTTTTATCTTACTTTTTTGTGTTCTTAAGGAGGGGTATTTCAGTAAATTCTCTCCCTAGTAGGTTTTTAAAAAACAATTTTATAAAACACTGATAATGTGCTAACTGTATGAGCTAGCAACAAGCACGTCCGTACCGTGTGGCGGCCCGACTACGACTGACCCCCACTCCGCCGTATTAGTCAGTGTTGCCATAGCGCACATTCTTTATGTGTGTAGTATAGTAATAATACATCACAGGCAGTGAAATTTAAATTTGCAATGACTGCCAGAGCGGCCCGTGTATGTTGATCACTGGCTAACTGCTCGAGCTATCCATGTATAGCTGGCCTTATACAATACGTATTTCTTTTTAAAAAGCATGCATCCGATACTCATAGTGCAAGCTTTGCTTAGCTTGCGACTAGATGGCGCTGTACAAATGTCCTAAATCACGATAACGTGTTCCAGAGTAAATCGGCGAAGCTTGTAGCCCTCCAGAAGTCTGGGAAACTTATTGGAAGCACCCCAGCTGTCAAGAAACGGAGCCACCGCCGCGCTATACTCAAGAAAGCTCGCGCGAAAGAAGCTCAATCGTGATACAGATTATATTCCGTTGAAGTAGCATTGTTATAAGTTCAATTGTTAAAAAAACAGTAAAATTTACCTATTTATACTTTTGTTTTTTTATTAGAACACACTATAGTCCTTTTAGTCTTAAACTGGCTGGATAATTTAGTGTCTATAGATTTTTTTTATATGCTGTTCATACCAAAAATGTGTGTAGATAAGGTACTGAAACTTTAAAAGCTAAGTAAGTTTTTATAATTAGATTCAATTTGTGCCTTATACCTACACTAGCTTTTGCCCGCGGCTTCACCTGCGTGAAATTTAGTTTGTCACAGATCGTCATAAATTATAGCCCTTATGTTATTCTCGGTTATAAACAATAATTCTGCAAATTTTCATCAAAATCCGTTCAGTAGTTTTTGCGTGAAAGAGTAACAAACATCCAGACATCCAAACTTTCGCATTTATAATATTAGGAGGATTAATGTTGTTACCGAAATGTTGGCTAATCAAACTAAGAAATAAAACAAGATGCGAGTGCTTCAAAAAATTATTTATTTATTCGTATATATAATTTATATATCCATTTATAGTTAAAATCAACCGATGCACACAACATAAACATCTTTACTCACACATTCAAGCGCGTGGCGCGCAATTATCGACCTTATGTACTGGCAGTAGGGCTGAGAGTCCAATATCTTGGCAAATTATTCCGCTACATACAATAATTTACTTTAAAATTACCTTAGAACTCTCTAAATAAAAGCGCGAGATATAAAATTAATACTTCTTAAATACTTAGGAAAATGTATAAAATGGGCGCCCAACGTGTTGTCATTTTGTATATAATTTAGTTTTTGTGCTAAGTATACATGTAATACAATTAAGTATTTTAGAGTACATATTTTGTACATAACTACACCTTAGTCCGGTTATCAAACTACACAAAATTAAAATCATGCACCATCCATACAAAACAACAGCACGTTGAAATACATACATAAAACATTAAAATATAAGTACTGTAATTGTCTAAAACGCCAATCAACTTAAAATAGTGGAATAAATAAGTAAGAAATAAATAAAATCCCATTATATCACTGCCGTATCCAACAAGTAAAATTTTTATACAAATTAATGACTGCAATCCAATAAATAAAAAATTGTGCCGTTTATCGATGACTACAAGTTACAACACTATTCATAATGTTGCCATGTGTCAAAAAAGGTAATCGGACACTTCCGATCAAATGAGATACTTTTTAAATGTAAAAACGCCGTTTTTCCATATTTTGTATGAAACAAACGTTTGAAGTCACTAATTTTTGATTATTAATTTCAAATCTAATAAAAATATAAATGTGCCAAGACTATATTTTGTATCTTTAAACACATTTCACGGACAATAAAATTATTTTTATACGATTGCAGTCACCGAAAATAATTTCAATTTGTGAACAACTACAAAATCTTGTGCCAACATATTGATTGTAAGAGTGTATCCTCTTCTGGACAAACTTGTCCCTTCAAAGATCACATCTAAATCTCTCAGTTGAGATTGCAATCAAAAGCCAGCCCATTTAACCCTTCATTTGGCAGTGATGCTTTTAAGCAACAACCACTTTGAATATTTCTACAGCACCAAATAATAAGTTTTGTGCAAATCATTCGATTTTGTTACGAAGCTTAGTTCAGCAAAAAACTAGTAAATCGGTCGTCGACTGAGTTTTGAGTGATTTCATATCCATATTTCTGTCAGATGCCAAGATGACGCGCAATGAGAATAACAAAGTCGGAAGTTTTATGATTTTGTACTATTTTATCATCTCTAATTGTTTTTGTTTTGTCTAAATTTTATTCATAATAAATCAAACTAATCATATAAAGCAATATTTGGCGTAGAAACTGTGTTTTCTAATACATGACATGCTTCCGAACCTCGATGTTGCCTAGAAGCATCAGTGCCAAACATCTAACAAAATAGGTTTAGCTTTTTGTTAATACAAAAGAGTGTCAATACACAATAAATCGATCATGTATTACATGAATAATGTTATAGAGATGGTACCTATAGTAGGTAATTACTTTTGATGCAATTATGGACCCTGTCGGGCACAGCATTTTAGGAGAGAGGAAGAATTTGCTGTCTGTCTCTGTGTTGTCTGTCTTCACACTTACACCGCTGAACTGATTTTAAATGATAAACACATTTTTCTTGCGTTGAAGTCAACAACTATAGCAGATAACGGTAACATACCAGTTTCAGAAGCTAAAGAGAAAATAAAAAGCCAACCTTGGCTCGGCATATTGATCGTGAAGTATGATGACATACGTCATCTATCAAATGTTGGAGAAAAAGGTCATTGTCGACTTTGCGAAAATGGCCAAAAAAAAGTTTAATGCATAAAATGTGAAATACGATTGATTTTTTTAAGATTTTCATATAAAAAAAATAATTCTATAATATATCTCAATGTTTTATTTAAGTACCCCTATTTGGCAATGTGGTAAATAAGCAACAATCGTTTTTCGCGAAAATACCAACCAAATATTTTTTTTACTATTTTTCTTAACTTTATTTGATAGTAACAATTAGGTCTAAATAGATTTTATTGAAAAAATCAAACAATTTGTGTCTTGCCAAATGAAGGGTTAATACAAAAAAAAGACATCTTCGTATTTTGGACAAAAATCAATTTAGTTTATGCTAATGGATGTTTCGCGAATCAAATTAACGTAATTTTTAAGTTACTTATTAGAGTTTTTAAAACATTCATATCGATTAAAATATTTAACGGATCATTATTATTATACTCGTAATTTACAAGTCGACATATCGACTTTCTATCGACATATCGACACCGCTAAGATACATTTTACTGACAAAAACTTTGAAAGTACAGTCAGCCACGATACAAAGTGACTATTTTGTCTATTTGGAAGAGTAAGAAAATAAATAAGTAAAAGAAGAAGAAGACTATAGTATTTTTGTCAGTAAAATCAGTATAACATTATGTTTTACAGTTAATACATAGAGACGGGGACATTTTTGGCACACCACACCAATTTTCAAATTCAAATCAATTCAAACACGCGTGATTTAGACCTTCTTGTAAATAAATACCTTTGTGAGTCAAAAATGTCTCCCAGATAGAATTGAAACGTAAATCAGCCACAGTAGAGAGAACTGTTACCGTGCAATAGTAATACGCTAACACCCAATTACAGGGTCATCTACGCTTATAGTTCCCTATACATACTCTAATATTAATTCCAACCTACAAAGATTTCGAAATAACTATATTTTATACACACCCATAAACATATACAAACAATTTCAACTCTACGACTGGCCACATAATATATCCGATTAAAAAATCAATTTCAACTCAATTCTTTCACCCACTCTTAATAAATTTATTTAAAAATACTGCTTCGTTGCTACGCGCAAATCATTACAAAAATAATATTCGAAACGACATTCAATAACTATGTTCTATGCTTAAAAATAGTACTAATACTTTTTAATCTAAACGTCAGCATTAGGACTACCTATGTACAGTCTACATTATTAAATACAGACAACGATAATGTGCGTTGCTCTAGATTTTATTACAAAATCACTTTTCGGATTTTTTTACACTCAGTGAGATTCTTATTTATAAATTTTTTCGTATTTGACGACGGCCTTACAGACCGGTTACAATTTGGCATGGAATGTTGTCGTGGACATTTTTGTATTTTTTTTTTCAATCAAACGTCGTGTTTTGGAATGAATGTGTTGTAGTTTTTATTGGTTGAAATTTGTAGTCTGAAGATTTTTATGAAGTTGACTGTATTTTATTGAAAATCGATTTTAGAGCTAGCTATTTCAAAATGGCATAAGCGATATTTCTATTTCATAATAATTATGTATTGTCGTTATTATAGAAAAAACATAGTCGAATTGAGAACCTCCTTTTTGTTGGTTAATAAATTAGAAGCTGGGACAGGTATTTTCAAATCATCTATTTAGAAGTAGATTTTCAAGAATATTTACTTATTGGCTAGCATTTTAAACAAAAAACATCATTTTCGTTTTATAATATTATGATTAAGTAATAAGTAAGACTTAAATGCAGTTAAGTAACCAATATTTAGTAGGAAATCAAATTTCTAATAAGTATTAGTATTATTAGTCACTTTAATTTCTGTCTGTGAAATAGCTTAGTCAATTGTTAAAAAATCTAAAAGTTCTTAGTTTCATGCGAAAATTTTCAAAAAAATAATAATGTTGCGTTCAATAATTATGCGTCCAGCGCATTTATTGGGAGTCATAATTTAAAATTAGTAAGAGTCGCATCCGTTGGTCAAATAGTACAGCCAGCGTCAAAGTTCGTGACAACCAAAGTGGCCAAAAAGTTGACAACCTTATTCCAATTGTAACAAAGACGTCGAACTTTTTGGTTACTTTCAGTGTTACTAACTATTTGACGTTGACTGGTAGTATTATTTTTTTAAATCACAAAATTGTTCTATGTTGGCTCAGACCAACTGTGTCAATATCTATTAAAGTATCAAGACACTTTTGTCATAGTATAAAATCAACTTTGGGGCCTGAGCGTAAGAGTTGACACTTTTTTTAGTGTTTCTCTAATGCCATCATAATGGAGAGTCACTGGCTATACTGGCAACTTGCTGTAGAGCCTGATAGCCTATTATGAAGTTATCTGTCAGATAAACTACAACGTCGAGGAGAGATATCTGGCAGACAAAGTTACTTAGGTTACTGGCGGTAATCAGCAACCTTTATTTGTCTAGAGCATTATAAAGCCAGATAAAAAGTACTTGTTCAGTGTCAGAAAGCTAATTTACTTAGGCTAGGTTGCACCATCTTACTTTAACTTTGACAAAAGTCAAAAATCTGTTAAACTCCACTAAGCTGGGCCACACACATCGCGGTAACCCGAAGATTCGCTCTAGCGCGATCTGTGTAGCCGAGTATTCGCATATATTTAGGTTCTGCATAGTTGCAAGACTTCATTTTGCTGTCGCTCGAATGATATATTGATGTATGTGGCCCAGGCTATATTCTGTAGGTAGGCTAATCGTTTGTTGCTATCTAAGGTTGCTGTCACATATACAAGAATAGCGTGTAGCCATCCAAAGATTGTGCCTTCAAGTGTGCGTCAAGCAGGGTTGTCACTCATAGGTATGGCACGCAGGGTTGTTACTCAGATGTCACGTAGGGTTGTCACATATCGCGCAGGGTTGTCACATATCACGTAGGGTAGTCACATATCGCGCAGGGTTGTCACATAACACGCAGGGTCGTCACATATCGCGCAGGGTTGTCATGTCTACTGCCAGCGCTGCTCAAAGAACTGCCTCATGTTGTGCCCCGCGCGGCCCACCGGACTGTCGTCTTCGTTGAAAACTTCGCAGTTGCTGAATATTAGGCGGACGTCTGACGCGAATTCTTCCTTGCATTTGTAGCTGGGGACAAAGAAATAACTCTTTTAATCTAAAATTGAATAAAAAGTATTTTACTAATTCCTGGTTGTCCATGTAACATGCTGATCGAATCGAATATGTTAGTTGCCCGCGCATATTGTATTAAGATTTTCTTCTACTCCTATCTATTTTGTGATATCGTGCTCATCAACGAAAATGGCGTTATTATGAGCGATATATTTGCAAAAAGTTCGAAAGTTATTTGCGACACTGAATGGAATTTACGAAGAACACTTTCAAAAACATCTGTATAGGTCGCTTAACGAAAGTTGAGGCGAACACATACTCATGCCGATGTAATATTTGAATTCAGAACACATAAATCGGTCAGAATACGCAAGACGTCAGCGCGACAAGCGTATGCAGATACAAATGATTGTGTTGATCGCCTCAACTTTTGTTGCACGATCTATAAAAACATTTTGATATGCGTCTGGATGCCCAACAAAAGAGTGAGACACTCACCTGCCCTCCTGCAGTTTCCTCTTAATCGTGGAGAGGTCCATGGGGCACTTGATGACCTTCTTGTACTGCGGGAACTGCTTGGTGTTGACCGGGATCAGGAACGGCCACGCGTGCTCGTGGCACTCCATGTCGCAGAGGAGACTCCTGGAGAAAGGGAATGCCATTTAATTTTTTAGAAAACTCCTCGGTTTATTCCCCTTGCTTGAATTTAATGTTGATTGTAGATAAAAATGGTCGACGAGATGGTCGGACGCGATGAGGCAAGCTTAGAGCAAGTCTTGGGCGGAAGCTTGCATCGTGCGTTTCACACAGCTTATGACCGTCGACCGCAGTCTGTGGAGGAACACTATCTGTGGTCGCGATCTTCATCAGTGAGGGACCGAGGAAGAAGTAGATAAAAAAAGAAAGATAAAACGTTTTTTGGTAACGTTATTTTACAATAAAAGAAAGATAATCTAGTAATAAACAAAGTTGAGTTAGGTACATCATTCATAATCTAGGACCCAGCTGACCGTTTTTAATAATCTCTAATTTATTGGATTCTTTATTTCATTTTGTTCAAATTGATGTTTTTAATTTGCTTAACCACTAACTTTGGTATAAAAGTCCAGTACCTACGTGAATTGAAGGTCAAAGTATGGATTCCCAATATGAAGAACTGGAATGAGCCATATTATGGTTACGTAGCTAGATTACTATAGTCCGGTCGCCGACCACGTAGGATTTCGTCCAATGACCCCAAGCTACCCATCCTTATTGCACGCGTGTAATTATATCGCTGTGCGAAGGGCGCTGTTGAGAGGGGCTATGTGTGGTCAATTAAAGGCTGACTCCAAATTACAATGAACATTTATTTCAAAAACGGACGGTCTTATATAGGAAAATATTTACAAAATGAGACAAGGACAAAACATATACCTATTTCACAGAGAATAATTACAAACATTTTAGGGTGAGACAATAAAACGATTACCTACACACATTATACTCGTAATAAACGGTCAGAGCGAGACAGAAGGAGAACAGTATATGTATTTCACACTACACAAATATAAATAAGATGGAGGGTACACAAATTATTGATACTGAATTTAGAAAGAGATAGCCTGAACTTACAAATACATCTGTTTCATACAACATGGAAATAACACTTAAAAGACGGTACACGAATATTAATTAATAAGCAAGATAGATAAGGACACCAAGAAGTTAGTATAGGTTTGTTTCACACAACATAAATATTACACAAAAACAAGGGTACTTTAATAAATAAATAAAAACAGATTACCGACATCTTAAAATAAAAAGTCTAGTAGTGGTCTAGGGCAAAGCAGCTCTCATCGTCCAGTGCGGCGGTGCTGCCGGTATGATGCAGACGTATGTCATGTGGTGTCGCCACAGGCGCCCTCAGTTACTGTGCGAGCGCGACAGCAACATAATTACGCGCGAGCCATAAGGATGGGTAACTTGGGGTCAATGGACGAAATTCTACGTGCTCGGTGACCGGGCTTTAGTAAATCAAATAAACTCTCTTACTTGCAGAACTGTAGATCCTTGTGTAGTTTTTTGGCGGTGTTCTTCTCTTTCTTCGCCCGCGATACTAGCGGTACGTTTTCTGTGTCTTGGTCTTCAGCTGAAACAAACCATAACAATTTATTATCGACTAGTTTTATACCCGCGGCTTTGCCCGCTGTCTATCGCGCGTCCCCGTTAGAAAATCCGGGTTAAAAAAAACTGTCCTATATTTTTCCTGGTTCTATACATTACTAGTAATATAATCCGCTAGCGGCAGCCCGCAACTCAGTACGCGTGGTTCCCATTTTACCCCCTTAGGGATGGAGTTTCGTAAAATCCGTTCTTAGCAAATTTCTACATCCAATAAGGAAGCTACCTGCCAAATTCCAAGTTTGTAGGTGTTATAGTTTCTGAGATTTCGTAATGAATGAGTCAGTCAGTAACATTTCATTATTAATTTATCGTAACGATATCAAAATTCATCTAAGGGACAACCCGGCAACCAGCGGATGTCAAACGCCGGATCTACGCAGCGCTGGTGTCACGTTATTTACGTTGAATTTGTTTAGTGATTTAAGCGTTAAGATCCGTCCATCTATCATCCTCACAACTTTATTATGAAACCACGAAAGAAGAAATGTTTTTTCAGTATCATCGACAATCCTTACCGTCGATATGTTGTTCCAACTCGTCGTGTTGTATGGCGCCGTTGCCGCCGACGTATTGTAACGCGCGCCGCTTTTCCGGCGGGCCTTCGTCGAAGTCCGGCGGCGCTGGAAAAAGAAGAAATAAATAAATATCTAAGTAAATGTAAATTAATCGTAGTGAACTTACTCGTAACACAAGCAATTTGGCTTACCACAAGAGGCTATATTCTTTAAAAACAAAGTGATCCAATAAGCATAAGGGTTCTGTTTTTTAATTTTTGAAGTACGGAACCCTAAAAATGTATTTAAAAAAAACAGGAGGCGAGGATTGATAGTCTTCTTCCCGCACCTCGTACACCCGAAGGCACACATCTCCGCTCCTCTCGTCTCCTCTCCGCTTTGGTGAAAATAACCAACCAGCTTCGCCACAAATCTTCTGGAAATCTAATCTTTGGAGGAAACCACAGCCTAGCACAGGCTTAAAACTGTCTAAGACTTACCCGGGTGATGGTTAAGTCCATTCTCGGGCTCAGCCAGCGTCTCGTCAAGCTTGTCAGCGCACTCCGCTTTCTCGGGCGTGTGCAGAGCGCTCGCCGAGCATTCTTCTGCCGTGGTTGATGTCGAGGCGTGGGAAGGCGCCGGGCTGTGAAAATCATCACCATTTTTATCATCATCATCATCGCAGATTATTCATTATCCACTACAGGAACACGACCTTTTAATTTACTAGAGGCAAATGGACTTTGACTAAACATTTAATCATCCATCATCATGAGGTTATTCACTCCCGACTGCAGGAGCTTAATCTCTAGATAAGGAAGCGATATGTATTTGGGACGTGTATAAGTGCCCTGGAAAGGGCCTATGTATTAAATAAAATATTTGAATTGTTTCGTAAGTGTTCTTTCCAGTAGTCCTGCTTATTAATCAGTATTATTAAAGAGTAAACACTGACCTGTAATATTACACACTGGACTGGCTGCTGTCATAATATTTCCGTACCTATTTGAGTTTCGCCATTTTCGCGCTGTAAGCTATACTATAGGTAGATACGATTGTCCATGGAACTAAAATTAGTGATGCTCTTACTCGCTCACTCCTATGGTTTACTCCTTGCAATGTACGTCAAAATTAGTTCACGGGACAATCGCAGTGGCGCTTCAAATTGCCACACAAAATTAGCTGTCATTTGTATGGAGACCTGTCCTGTGTGTAATAATACAGGTCAGTGAGAGTAAAAATGCACCAGTGCTCCAAAGGTCACATGCTGAAAATCTGCGTCGTGACCTTTGGCATACACTGTCTCGATAAATGCTGAGTTTTGGGGGCCTTTTTTGGCCCACTTTTTGCATGTGAGATATTCTGTTTGTGTGCCCAATAAACTATTTCTATTAATCGTTTGATCCACGAAGACGCACCCCACCAATGTTTGGTCTCGGTCGCGCGGGGTGCGGGGAGTTTGATCCGAGCAATCCGTAAGGCATTATTGTAGTGTGCGTGTGCACTCATGGATAATTTAGCATGTGCCGATAACACTCAAACATTAACGGAAGAATGGTGGGGCGCGTCTTCATGGATGAAACCATCTACAGGGTGGAAACGATAAGTGATCTCACTCGATTATTTCTAAACTATACAAGATATCGAAAAACTGATTACTGATCCTGAAAGTGCTTCACGAGCTCTTTCAAACGATATCAGTAATGGGTTACAGAATTAACTTGATCTATCCGAAAATTCGATGTTTTCAGCCTCCATACTAAATGTATGCCACTATGCCAGCCACACAATATTAGTGTTAATTTTTTTTTTATTTTAAATAATAAACACTTAAAATTAACTCCTGAATTGCACTACCTATTAATGGAAAACATTGGTTGAAGGCTTTACTTGCTATAATATTATCAAGACATGAGTGCCATGACTGTGGCAGTACTAAATGTATGGAAGCTGGAAACATTGAATTTTCGGATAGATCCACTTTATTTTATAACTTATTATTGGTACTGTTGGATAGAGCTCGTAAAGCACTTTCAGGATCAATAATCAGTTTTCAGATATCTTGTATAGTTTTTAATATAATGTGGTTTTACTAAATGTATGGAGGCTAGAAACATTGGATTTTCAGACAGATTCAGTTTATTTTGTAACCTATTATTGGTACCGTTGGATAGAGCTCGTGAAGCACTTTCAGGATCAGTAACCAGTTTTTGGATCTTGTATAGTTTAGAAATAATCGAGTGAGATCACTTATCGTTTCCACCCTGTATACGCTATTGTAACAAAGAAATGATAGACCAACCTCGGCACCATGGCCTGGTCGAGGTCGAGGGAGGCGTTGTTGTCGCGCTGCTTGCTGTCGCGCTTCTTGGTGTTGCGCGGCTTCTTGGGCGGCGCGCGCGATATGCACTGCGAACAGTACCATTTGCCGCGGGGGTTCTGGAACAAACATATTTTTAAAGATTAAATCTATACTTATAATAAATCTGTAGAGGTCAATTCTGTACATGAAATATATTTTCAAAATAACTATCAGGGGGTGATTAGTGATCGATACTGATGCCAAAAATGCAATCAGTAAAATTTTTGTCTGTCTGTCTGTCTGTATGTTCCTTATAGAAACAAAAACTACTCGACGCATTTTAACGAAACTTGGTACATTTATTCTTCATACTCCTGGGCAGGTTATAGTATACTTAGGAATTCCCATGGGAACGGGAATTAGCGGGAAAATCCTTTTGTATGAAAAATCTAAACCACTTAAGTTAGACGCTTGAAATTTGGCATGCAGGTACCTTAGTACACTTAAAGCTTAGTTATAACAGGATATTGCAAAATTCCCACGGGAACGGGAGTTAGCGGGAAAAAACATTTGTATGAAAAAATCTAAACCGCGTAAGATAGATGAAGGGGGTAAAACGGGATCCACGCGTACGAAGTCGCGGGCGGCCGCTAGTAAATAAATAAGATTAGCCTGAATCTTATTTATTTTTTTATCCACAACGAGGAAGCTCTTAGCCTGTATCTCACCTGATGGTAAGTGCTTGTTTTACGAGTGAGCTCACCACAATAGTCGAGCGGCGGCGGGGACCGAACCCCTTCACCGTTCGGCTATTGTGGCTTAAAAAAAAATTAATAGACCTGCCTGCTCAAAAACTCAACTCAGAAATAATTTCAGTACTTTTAAGTGATTTTGTGAAAAATATAATTGGCAGGTAGCTCACAAGATAGGTCCCTGAAATTATGCTATCGTTTGTGGTGTATATCTTTTCTTAAAGGTCACTTAATTCACTTAAACCTTTGTTTCATCATCACATTTCATCAGTCATCAGCTTTCGTGTTTAGAAAAAATTAAGTGGGTATTTAGATATTACTACAGAATAATACTAAGTACTACGTACAGAAGATTTACTTCGTAAAAGTATTTTAAAAAATGTATGCTCAATGTCATTAACAATATGGTGTAATTTAGCTTGTCTCAAGAGTCAAGCACCATCAACGCAGGACCGGTAGTTGTAAAAAATATTGAAGAGGTCTTTGTAGTCGTCCTGTCCGACGAAGAGTGGGCTTACCTTGCCCAGCGGTGGGTAGTGGCAGTCCTGGTGGTACGCTCTTGAACATAGTGCACAGGGTATGGTGCGTCCGCTAGAAGCGCCACCACACACGATACACACGCGTTCACCGCGCGCTTTGTTCAAAGGGCTTAGTGTGAGTTTATGTCAAGCGCATTCAAACTTGACTGTGTAAAAAAGTGTCATTAAATGTTTGACGGATTGTACAGTGCCCCTAGCGGAAACTTTCAAGAACTAAATTAATATTTTTAACGCGCTCGCTAGTGACGACGTTTAATGTAAACTCACACTAAGCCCTCAGTACCTGTGACTTTAGTTATAAATGGGCTTACCTTCCTCCTTTGTCACCTGTCATCCGCTTTGCAATGGAGGGAAGTCGCTTAACCTCGAACTCCTCCTATGTTCTTCTGATTTTCGTTGCGGGTCCAATGGCAGTTTAACTTTTGCCAGACAAACTTGACCTTCACTGGTTGGGTTTGGCGGTCAAGCTGTAGATCCTGGCTACACAGGAGTTGCAGCGGTGGGAACGAGAGGTGGGAATAGTCTTGTAGTCTAGTGAGTGCTACTGCCTAATCACATAAACAGCTAGGTAATTAGCTGCAGGGTCTCTTTCCTTCGCCCTTGTCTACCAAAAATTGTCTATTGAGGTTGGATGATATGAACAATATTTTTAAGAGTGGGCTCACCTTGCCCAGCGGTGGGTAGTGGCAGTCCTGGTGGTACGCTCTTGAACATAGTGCACAGGGAATGGTGCGTCCGCTAGAGGCACCGCCGCAGACGATGCACACGCGTTCACCGCGCGCTTTGTTCACGCACTCCCAGCAATACCTGTGAAATAATAAGAAACACTACGATAGTACGATAACTTCATGCGTTCAGACGCGATATCGGAATTTTAGCGACTAAGTACTGTCGTCGGTGCGCCGAGCAACGAAAATGATTAGCGTAGTGTGCTGTTGTTGTATAACCTTTTAAATGTAACTTTGTGCCTTTTGCATTTTTTGACTATGGTCTACTTTCCAACTTATTATAGGTATGATAAACTCTATGTTCTTTTTTTAAGTTGTTAGACTTTTCTATGCTAATATTATAAAGAGTTAAAGTTTGTGTGTATATTTGTTAAATTGTAAGTAAAATCTCGGGATCTACTGGACCGATTTTAAAAAATCTTTCACCAATAGAAAGCCCATTATTGCCGAGTGTCATAGGTTATACAGGGTGTTTCTTGTAAGGTGTCAAGCCGAAGGCAGGTGATAGGTGAGGACTAGACCTATCGATTTCACCCCCATGTATGTTCTACGATTTTTCATAGTTTAGAAGTTATCGTCAATTTTGTGATTTTTTCAAATTGTATGACCCAGTAGGCTTTAAATTTTTTTATCTTTTTTTTGGGTCGACTTTTCTCAGATTTCTTTTTTTTGACAGATTCCCTATTAATTGCAGATTTTTGAAAAAAATAATCAACTTCCTATCTTTGATGCAAGATACAAAATTTTTGCTAGAAACATAAAAAATATGCTATTAGCGGAACATTCTAAAATTTTCAACTTAAAAGTTAAAAAAAAAAAAAAAAAAACCTTCTTCTTCATTTTAATTTGGTTTTGTGCTTCAGTCAGCTTTGTCCGCAGTTCATCAATATTTTCATATTCCCTATTGTATACCAGATGAAGGGCAAGAGCTTCCTCGTTGTGGATAAAACAATGTTCTGTTCAGTTATTGTCTCTAAATGTGTTCTACATAACGTAAACTTAAGGGATTGCAAACATTACTTAGTCCTAAGAAAGTCAAAAACATGTAACGGAATCTCCGACTTACCACTTTAGTGGAGCGATTACAGAAAATAATGGCCTATTAAGTACATGTTTTTTTGTGTTATTATGAAAGTTCAGAAAACTGCGCAGTTTTTAAAATTATTTTGGACCTATGGAATTTTGTTTTTTTTTTTAACTTTTAAGTTGAAAATTTTAGAATGTTCCGCTAAAAGCATATTTTTTATGTTTCTAGCAAAAATTTTGTATCTTGCATCAAAGATAGGAAGTTGATTATTTTTTTCAAAAATCTGCAATTAATAGGGAATCTGTCAAAAAAAAGAAATCTGAGAAAAGTCGACCCAAAAAAAAGATAAAAAAATTTAAAGCCTACTAGGTCATACAATTTGAAAAAATCACAAAATTAACGATAACTTCTAAACTATGAAAAATCGTAAAACATACATAGGGGTGAAATCGATAGGTCTAGTCCTCACCTATCACCTGCCTTCGGCTTGACACCTTACAAGAAACACCCTGTATAAAAAACCGAAAAATTCCACGCGGGCGAAGCCGCGGACGGAAAGCTAGTAGTACATAAAATTGTAGGAGGTTTTGGAATCAATAATTTTGGAATATGCTCATAAATGAGTGACTCACCAGTCGCCCTCGGGAATCTTGTCCATGCGAGGCTTGAAGCAGTAGGTATGGTAGCCCTTGTCGCAGCCGTCGCACAATAGTAGCTGGTCTTCGTTGTCGCCGCTCAGGCAGAATTGGCAGTTCTGTGGATAAGAATAAGGTCTAAATTACCACGAACTTGGGCATCCAAAAAGCCCTCAAAAATAGTTTTTAAATAATATTACTAGTGTTACAACAAGTGAATTGACCACCACATGGCCACAGTTCAGTAGCCGGCGGGGATCATACCTATCGAATCTCCAAAAAAATTGCAAATTAGTTTAGGTATATTACTATTATTATCCTTGCTTAAATCCAACAGTGGACTGTCATATGCTGAAAGCAGTTGCTAGATGAAATATACGGAAAATTGTGCTTTGTAGCGTTCCTTTGGCTACATTGAGTAAAGGACTGCTTTATGCTGAAATGAAGATGATTATGACAAAATTTTGCATTTTGATTTTGTATTTTTTAACTGATTTGTTCTACAAAGAGTATCTTTCCATCTAAGACGGTGATGATGATGATAATGATGACGATGATGATAATGATGATGATGATCACTGATGCTCTTGTCTCAGGCTAGCATGGTGAGTTGTGCTGAAGTGTTGCAGTCATCTCCTCTCCACGTCACCAGCAGCGAGCTATGCCTATGATGATGATGATGATAATGATGACGATCACTCACCGCCTTCATGATGCTTTTGTCCAGGCTACAGCGCTTTCCAGCGCTTGCAGCAGCATAGCCAACTGAGCTGAAGTGTTGGGGCCACTGCTTGATGATGATGATGATGATCACTCACCGCCTTCATGATGCTCTTGCCCCAGGCTACAGCGCTTTCCAGCGCTTGCAGCAGCATGGCCAGCTGAGCTGAGGTGTTAAGGCCACTGCTTGATGATGATGATCACTCACCGCCTTCATGATGCTTTTGTCCCAGGCCATAGCGCTTTCAAGCGCTTGCAGCAGCATGGCCAGCTGAGCTGAAGTGTTAAGGCCACTGCTTGATGATGATGATGATGATGATGATCACTCACCGCCTTCATAATGCTCTTGTCCCAGGCTACAGCGCTTTCAAGCGCTTGCAGCAGCATGGCCAGCTGTGCTGAAGTGTTGCAGCGGGCTACTGCTTCTCGCCACGTAGCTAAACCTCGGGCGATGCCTTTTGTTTCTGAAACAAAACATCTGTGTTAATAAACTAGCTTCTTCGACGGTGACTTCGTTTAATTGGGAATTTGAGATTATTGTAGATCTGGTCTGCGAGCACGTATAATTTTGTCCAATGACCCCGAGCTACCCATCCTTATCGCTCGTGCGTAATTATGTTGTTGTCGCGCTCGCACACTCACTGCGACCGCCCGTCAAACATTCTCGACAGCAATATAATTACGCGCGAGAGATAAGGATGGGTAGCTTGGGGTCATTGGACAAAATTCTACGTGCTCGGCGACCAGACGATAGTGAAAACGTTGAAATAGTCTAGGGCTTTAGTATGTAAGTCTATTTTTAGATCTCCGTTAGTGAACCATACCTTTCGTCTCGCTCGCACTGTCGGAGTTCTGCGGCGATGGCGCAGAAGCATTGCCGTGTTCTCCTTGCAAAGCCGCGCCAATTGCCGCCTCAGATGTACTGTAATGATAAAGAAATAAACAATAACAATATATATAATCCCAACTAATATTATAAATGCGAAAGTAACTCTGTCTGTCTGTCTGTCTGTCTGTTACGCTTTCCCGCTTAAACCTCGCAACCGATTTTGATGAAATTTGGCATAGAGATAGTTTGAGTCCCGGGAAAGAACATAGGATAGTTTTTATCCCGGTTTTTGAAACAGGGACGCGCGCGATAAAGTTTTTCTGTGACAGACAAAATTCCACGCGGGCGAATCCGCGGGCGGAAAGCTAGTAATAAATAAATTGGTGGGTAGTTGACAATATTAAGGCTTTCAAGTAACAATTTATTTATTTAGGACTGAAGACCAACATTACTTATAATTTTTATCAATTTCACTGAAAGATCTTATGGAAATTCTTTAAGATCAACAAATAGTGATATGAGTTGGTAGAGATGTGAGTCATTTTAGGGAATTGAACTGACAGTGATATGACGCCATAATACTAATATGGGGGGAGGGGGGGGGTTGCTTTGTTGATAGCTTATAAAAATACACCAAAGAACCAACACCAAGAAAACCACAAAAAACAATATTCCACACACAAAATCCAAAAAGCATAATTTCTAAATGCAACATCAACTTAATTTTAAATGGATAGTGATCAAAGCATGAGCCATGAACGAACATCTAAATGATAATGCTTATGAGAAGCGAGTTTGAACCTTCACCATATACTCGTACCTTATCAATATACAACCATCACAAGTACCTACTTTATTTGCCCTAAAAACTTCACACACACACACACACACCCCACTAGTTATGACGATAAATGATACGTCGATTTTAACTGGATTTGTTTTTAGTTATAAAGGTGAGCTAATACCGAGTTGACGAAGGCTTTAAAATTGCCACCATTTTAAATTTATTTAATTATTTATTAGGCACACCATTTTCATCCAGTTTCAACTACGCTTCGTTTAACCTCGTCTCGCCTCGCTCGACTTCCGAGTTAGCTGAAGCAGATAGTGTGGGCACTTCGCTTCGCTTCAAGCAACCTCCTCATAGCTCGAAGTTGAACACGAAGCGTCTGACTACACTATCATCTAACTTGAATTCGATTCGAGACATTCGACCTTAGGAATTTGAGCTTTTTTATAAAGATCGAGAGTGCAAATTGCAATGGTAGCAGTCATTTGAATACCGTATTACACAGAGCGCGGCCTCCAAGAGACTAAGTTTCTCGCCAATAAGTGTAGCGGAGGCATATTAATAAGCTTATGAAATGATGGATAATCCATGAGAAGCGAATGAACTACCACCACCATTTGAGTGACAATGATATTAGTTTAAAACTGAGCTCTAGCGACCACACAATAGTATCTGCCCGAAGGCTGGGTTCACTTACCTAGCATACCTTTGCACCAGCGGCGGCTTAAGGTACCGGCGCTCTATGTGTGCCTCGACGGCTGCCAAGCGGTGGCTTAGGAATTTGAGCTTTGTCATAAAGATGGATAGTGCAAATTGCAATGACAGTATCTTGAATACCGCGTTGCCTATAGCTCGCACACTCACTGCGGGCGCCCGTCGCACAGTCGCGACAGCAATATAATTACACGCGAGCGATAAGGATGGGTAGCTTGGGGTCATCGGACGAAATTCTACGTGCTCGCCGACCGGGCTTTAGAGTGCGACCTCCAAGAGACTAACTTTCTCGCAAAGTTGCATAAGCTTGTCGATAGTGGAAATATCAATTACTGTAAGGGACAAAACACGACTTTTCAGGAGAGCCAAAAAACGATTTTTTTTTCTTTATACCTCAATATCTTTTTATGTGATGTTACGATTTAAATAGTTTCTATGGCAAAGTTTCTTAGAATTTTCTGTTCTTTCATAATATAAACGCCAAATTTTCGAAAAATGGGTAGTTTAAAAGATAGCATGTCTCTTACATTAAAAAAACGAGCTTGACTGTACCTTACAATGTTGAAATTTCACAGTATGGAATGTCATGTATGTTGTAAGGTACATTTAAGAATAAACACGACAGTAATATTATTGTAACTTGACAATTTTAACATTGAAACCTGATGTAAGTAGAGGTTGCATTCGAGTATTCATTAACAAAACGAAGAGAAGAGATAGAAACAAGACAACTTAGTGTTCACAAATGCAGTTGGAGGCATCAAATACACATCACCAACAAAACATTTAGTCACTGATGATGCCTACATCTGCATTTGTGAACAAGTTGTCTTGTTTCTATCTTTTTCTGTTCATTTTTACGCAGATAGGTTTTTTTTTCAATCATCGTTCGTTCGTTTTAGCCGAATGACGTCCACTGCTGGACAAAGGTCTTCCCCCAAGGATTTCCACAACAACCGGTCCTGCGCCGCCCGCATCCAGGCACCTCCTACAACCTTCACCAGATCGTCGGTCGACCTAGTGGGGGTCTGCAGCACATTACGTCTTCCAGCTCGTGGTCGCCACTCAAGAATTTTTCTGCCCCAGCGGCCATCAGCTTTGCAAGCTACGAGCTCCATCCACTGCCACTTGATTTTAGCGATTCTGCGGACTATGTCAGTCACTTTGGTTCTCCTGCGGATCACGTCATTTCTGGTTCAATCACTACGAGCATAGCACGCTCCATCGCCTTTGACCTTGAGTCTTCTTATGAGGCCCACAGTAAGCGACCACGTCTCAGATCCATAAGTTATCAAAGACTTTTGTCTTGAGACAGTGCGATATTTCAGACGTGAGAATATCACGAAGCTTCCTGAACGTTGCCAGCCGAGTTGGATTCGACGATTGACCTCTTCCTCGAAGTTAGACCTACCTAAGGCTGGTTTTAGTGTCACGCAGACCGTCAGTGCGGATCGCTCCGCACAGCCAATCTGTATGAACTGATAGGGAGCGAGCGATTCCTGCGGACCGCATTACTCTAAAACGCTTCCTCGAAGTTTACAGATCGGCTGTGTGAAGCGGATCCGCACTGGACGGTCCGCGTGACACTATAACCAGCCTAACTGGACTGTTTGTACTAGGTACATATAAGTGTCAACAACTGCCGAGTGTAGAGTATCCAACCTTTAGAGATGAAACCTTGTTGAGAGGCTCGACTCAGGCCATTGTGCATTGTGCCTAGATCTTCCACGGTCTCAGCCATGGCTATGATATCGTTTGCGAATCGAAGGTGGGTTATTTACTCACCGTTGATATTTATGCCGAATCCGTTCCAGTCCAGAAACAGTTTCGGAGTTTTCAGTTCCCCCTGTCTGCTGCTGCAACTGGTCGTTGCCTATCTTATGTTATTATTACACACTGTAAAACCCTGGTTTTCCTAAATAAATAAATAAATAAATTAATTAATTAATTAATTGATACTTCCACTATCGTTGTGAAACGATGGACTATGAGAAGCGAATGTACCATCACCACACTCCTTCAATGACAATGATATCTAGCGACCACACAATAGTATCTGCCCGAAGGCTGGGTTCACTTTACCTAGCATACCTTTGCACCAGCGGCGGCTTAAGGTACCGGCGCTCTATGTGTGCCTCAACAGCTGCCAAGCGGTGTCGAGCGCGCGCCACTAGTTGTAATGTTGCGCTACTCGCGAAATAGTGTGGACACGCACTTTACTTGGCTTCGAGCGACCTTGTCTCGCCTCGATCGACTTCCGAGCTGGCCGAAGTATGGGCAATGAGCATGCACTTCACTGCGCTTCTAGCAACCTCGTATCGCCTCGCTCGACTTCAGAAAATTGACAGTAAATGCGCGTGAGTCTTAAGGCTCGTATTAGAACACGAAGCGTGTGACTACAATAGTCATCTAACTTGAATTCGCGTCGTGACATTCGTCCTTAGGCATTTGAGCTTTGTCATAAAGATCGAAAGTGCAAATTGCAATGGCAGTATCTTGAACACCGTGTTGCCTAGAGCGCGGCCTCCGAGAGACTTGAGTTTTTCGCGAAGTTTTACGAAGTACCGAAGAGAGTAGTGTAGCAGAGGCATAAGCTTATGAAATGATGGACAATCCATGAGAAGCGAATGAACTACCACCACCATTTGAGTGACAATGATATTAATTTAAAACTGAGCTCTAGCGACCACACAATAGTATCTGCCCGCAGGCTGGGTTCACTTTACCTAGCATACCTTTGCACCAGCGGCGGCTTAAGGTACCGGCGCTCTATGTGTGCCTCAACAGCTGCTAAACGGTGCCGAGCGCGCGCCACTAGTTCGGCGCCGCTGGCGTCTGAAGGCGGAGAGACTCGTGAAGGGCGCCAACCTTTGGTCTGCATGGAAGCTGCACAGACCCGCTCTTCTAGTTGTTCCACCTGGAATGAGATTATGGTTTTAGTATACATTTATTTTTTTATTTTTTTATTTATTTATTAGGTACACCAACGATAGGTACAACAATACACAATATGTTAAAAAATACGCAAAATATTAAGCTAATTGCACTATCACTTAGGCCCAGTTTTTTGATTCATAGTTAAAATAACAAATTGTTAAATTTTGCTACTAATGGTTAAATATTAACAAAATGTTAACTAATAGTTAAAAAATGTACTAAAAGTCAAGCTAACCATTGTTCAAAAAACATTTTTTTCTGATATTTAACCACTTGTCATTTGACATCTGTCAAATTTGACTATTGGTTATTTTAACTACGAATCAAAAAACCGGGCCTTAGAGGTATACATACACAGCTTGCAAGAAATATAAGTTGCTGCTTAGTTAGCATAAATGATGTTATATAAGTTAAATTATTATGATATAGAGTCGGTTGCTGTTGCCTTGAATTTGGGTAGGGACATGAAATGCACATCCAGGGGACCACTACATTTATTGTAGATCTTGCAGATCCGACATATAGGAGAGTTGGCTCCTAGAACAGTTTTTCGAAAGGGGCGGGAGAGAGGTTCAATGGGTTTACGTGGTATTCGTAATGGGACTTTGAAGTTAAATTTCTTGGTTGAACTTGTACCGGTACTCTTAATTCTATTTCGTATTTGGGGTTAAAAGTGCCGATAATAACGTGTTCTATGACATTTAAATGTTTCAGTAGTCTAACTAAATTAAAAGTGTGAAAAATGAAGGAGCAGATAGAGACTTCATGTGTCTCTCGTACAAAATGTAGGTAACATCACGCAGTTGGTCGTCTAGACACGACGTCTATGGATAGATGGCGTCATACAAATTGTACTGTGAACAGAGGGCGCAACCAGTGTCCAAATAAAAGGTCAGCTACGCGTATAAATGGCACCTGTGGTCAAGCTGATGGTTAGCTGAACATAATGGCCACTGCTGTGTGCTACAGACTTAGTTCTGCGGGCAAATAACGTTTGTGCTACAGATGACTAGTTAATGGCTGTCTACATACGTCAAATTTGAATTCAAATTTAAATTGTTTATTACATGAAACATAGGATAGAACACAAAATTAACGGCAGCTATGTTGTCTAAATGTATATTTTTTTGTCTTACTTTTGACTAAACAAAGGTTTTTCTTTGTATAGCCTGACCAGGAACATAAAAACCCTGGCATAGAGGCGCTTCAATTGCTATTGATAGTGCAACACTGAGTACAGTCCTACATGTGTTAAATTAATAGGCTAACTTTATGTATCAGGATTCAGGATTACGCGCTAATTTGATATTTTCATAAATTAACGAAAAAATATTATTATAGGTAACCTGATTNAAAAAAAAAAAACATTTTTTTTACTTTAATAACCCACTTTTCTGGCAATTTTACTCTATTTCTTGCGAGAAAAATTACGTGATATTTTCCGAGACCCCCCCTCTCCCCTACGTGAGATTTAGTGAGGTTTTCGTTGACCCCCTCCCCCCCCTAAAAGTCTCACGTAATTTATGGACGCCCCCTTACGGGCTAATTTGATATTTTCATAAATTAACGAAAAAATATTATTATAGGTAACCTGATTTAAATAAATTAAATGAAACCATCAATCGAGCTAGTAGAATTTATTTTATTATTCATCAATAATCAAATTCAGAACTTGAATATTCAACTGCAATGTCTGCTCAAGAACGGTACTTCTTTCCCAATCCCATAAAATTCAACACTTTGAAAGTGACATTTTTAAAATAGGTAGCTAGTTGAAACAAACCACAGCTAATTTTCATAGTGGACTGTACTATACGATAAACATGTCAGTCAATTTGACAACCTTTGTCGGAAACATTATTCAATGAAAATATTGTCCGAACCCTTAGTATTTCTCTTCGACAAATACTTTAACACATTGTGAACCACTTTTCTTTCACGACTATAAAAATATTTTAGCAATTTAATTCATAAAACCAATTGCGCACATTTAAAATAAAGTTTGTTTACACTTTGACAGCAAGGTGACATGTCAATGAAGTTTTCAGTTACTGTTGCCATTAAAAGAAATTAGTACCATTAGTTTTCCGCAACATGGCGAGGGTTTTTATGTTCCTGGTCAGGCTATACAGCACTTACCGCCAATAACAGCTGCATAGCAACGCGTCGCGCGGCGCTAGCGGAGTATGAACCGGCAGCGTCGGGGCTGGGCGCGCCGCTCGCGTGAGCGATCACTCGGTCAAGGTGCGATACCGTCAGTTCCGTGGACAGGATGTCGCCTTTGTCTATGTAGATCTGAAATAAACGTTTTTATATTTATATTGGTTATACTGCTGGAAAATTCCTTGAACTATTCCGATTCTGAGAATTCTGAGAATATTATTATGTATTCTCTCAATTTTTATTTAGCACATTCATAAATTATGTTCGTTCATTTCAGCCAAATGACGTCCAATGCTGGACAATGGCCTCCCCCAAGGTTTTTCACAATGAACATAAATTATGTATCTAGTTAAAATTTACTTATCCGGCTCGAAGGACCATAATGTATATTTGTCTTGATAATTAAATGAAGTTTAAATAGTGAAAATGAACGAATCATACCAGAATCGCTAAGGAAAACACTGCAATACAAATGCAATACAACGAATTTTTTCTTGCTAAAATATGTATAATCGGATCTCTAGCATTGGCTATCTTTTATTTATCAAAGATAAAAAATAGCAAAGCAAATACTAGCTCTCTGGTCCCTTTTTTTTTTTTTATGCAGAACACGGCAGGTATTTGACCACAATCGCACCTGATGTTAAGTGGGATGCGGTCTAGGATGGTACATATCTGCCCTGTAAGTGCCTATTCACTCTCGCCTTGAAAAGGCCCGGATTATAGTTTTATAACCTATCTTGGCGAGGTCCCACTCTTGCTTAAAATTACATAAATATTTTATTTACATCAGCATATTAACTGTCGTACCTTGTTGTTAACAGTGGGCAGATGCTGAACGAAAGCCGCGTGTAGCTCCCGCTCCCTTACTCCTCGCGGGTGTAAAGCATCCATCAACTCTTTGAGCTGGTCCGGATCTGTGATCCGCCACCAGCCGTGTCTGTGGACGAATGATAATATTAATGTTGGTATTCTTCTGTCTCATATTCTGCATTGATTGTGAATTAGAACCTAATATGAGGTTTAAAAAATTCTGTATTACCCAAAAGGACAGGAATAAATCGAAAACTATATTAAATAGTCTGGTCTCCGAGCACGTAGAATTTTGTCAAATGACCCCAAGCTATCTATCCTTATCGCTCGCCCGTAATTATATTGCTGTCGCGACTGTGCGACAGTGAGTGTGCGAGCGCAACAGCAACATAATTACGCGCGAGCGATAAGGATGGGTAGCTTTGGGTCATTCGACAAAATTCTAAGTGCTCGGAGACCGGACTTTAGTAGCAGAAATAGATTAGGTTCGCTTCCAGTTATCTCGGAAAACGTAGTTTACACAATGGACCGACGATCTCTGGTAGTAGTTGGACGACATGAAAACGGAAAAACATGTTTTGCATCCAGAAATTAACTGTCTTTAGTGAAGATAACTTTTACACTATAGTGGGGCTAAACATAGGGGGAATGAGAAAACTTCCCAGATGGGCTAGTTTCTGTGGAAATATTGAAAAATCCTGCTTTAGAGATAAACAGATCATTGTGCACAGAATAATACTGACCTCAACTCCTTAGGCACAAAGTTGCCTTTCACCCTAGCCGGTAGTCCTTGCTTCTTGCAGCATTCTAGCTGCTGCAACTCATCGGGTGACATCTGCAGCGGCGGCGGACTGTCACAGGTGACATAAGTTGACAGGGCGTTAAAGTTGAGGAGTCCTAGACTGGTGAGGCTGTTAGCTTTGGCCTTTTGGGTGGCCAGGTCGTGTTTGATGGCGTCAGCTTGGAGCTCCTTTTCTAGGTCGTTGTCCTGCGGAATGACGTGCTTTTGTAGTATTAAATTTATTAGCAATACTTCCTGGGAGATTTTTGGTTGTTTTTATAACCTACTAAAGGATTTTTTCCGTTACTGTTGGTCAGTATTAGTGGATTCAGGTTTGTCTGTCTCCAAGCTACGAGTAATTGACGATTTTCAGACCAAAATGTATGGTAGCTTAAGCAGTCAACTGTACTTTTAAGCCGACCTTAAAAAGATGTTTTTTAAACTATGATTACAATATTTCTTACAACATAACGTTTAGGAATGTGATTATAGTACAAAGAACTTCTAATTCTTCTATAAAAGTTGAAGTAAGTAAAAGTTATAGTAAGTTTGTTTCACATTTGCTTCAGGATGAGACAGAAATCATCGAATTAAGTTAAAAAACCAATCTTAGTCAAAACCACATCAAAAGCTAAGCTTACCTGTTCCTTACTCTCTTCTTCTGCCTCCTCTTGCATAGACACATCTTTGTTGATACTAGCGTCCATCATATCTTGATCCAGACCAGACATAGTCAGACTAGAATCCGCGTAGACATTATTCGAGGGCACTTGCACACTAGTCACCATACTATTCAAAGTGAACAGGCTCGGATCGTTCAATAAATGAAGATTATTCGATACATCCCATTTGTGACCTTGGCATAACACCACTTCTGCACATGTATGCTCATTGTCGCAGTATGTAGGTAAATCGGCTTTGTCGGACTCGTTGATGTTGTTCAAGAATGAGCTCTCATGCCTTAGTATAGAAAACCATTTGCCTTCTAACATTCGGGAATATAAATGCCCGTGCGCAGAATCAGGTTCCATCACTTCTTTTTTGACTTCTATTGGCTCTTTTTCGTCTTTGACTTCAGCTTCGGCTTTCTTAGCCGCGTCTAGTTGGGACGAAACTGCTTCGGCCATCTTGCGGAGCTCTTCAAGGTTATTTACGAGTTGGTCTTTCGGTTCTTCCGGTTCTGTTTCTTCCTTCTTGACCAGGTTTTCAACTTTGACGATTTCCTGCGGTTTGTCCACCGGCTCCGCTTGGGCAGCATACATGGGCTTGTGAGTTGGTTTTTGGACTAGGAACGCGGTGGGAATGGAATCTTCTATGTCGAGCATATCTTCTTCTTCGTTGTTCTGTTTCTGCTGGATGTATTTCTCTTCCATTTTTATCGATGAACCTGCGATGGAGAAGTTAGGCAGTTGTATAAGAAGCAGATTACAGTAGTTTGTAAAATAATGCAGTTATTTAGTAAGAAATCGTTTCAAAATCAAAATCAAAAATATTTATTCAGTTTAGACCACAAGTGGCACTTATGAACGTCAAATATATAAAAAAAGGTAGCCCTTATGGGGCACTTTACACTTTACTTTGTTTGCTTGATTTGATGCTTTTATGAGACTAAAATCATGCTTTTTGTGTGTTCAAAGTTACTATTTTGTATTGTTTAATTTTGATGATGATACTGTTGTTTTGATTAAGTGTCATTGTAAATAAATAATAAAATAATAATAAATATTTTATTATGAAACACATGTTACATTGTCATTACAAATTAGCCTTATCCATTTAAGTTTTTAAAAACTTGTCCTAGGATAAAGCTGCTCTTCACAATGTTTAAAAATTTCTAACATGAGTAGGTAACTAATAATTTTACGTTTAACAATTCCACGAAGCTCAGCAATATGTTATAAACAAATTTTTACAAAAATCTCTATGAATAAGAATGAAATAAGAAATTAACGCACTGCTTTTAATTAAGATCATAATTCACAAATCAATAGTTTTTCAGTTTCCATATAGTCCATCTGTTTCAACCAGTCGTAAATTTTTTTCTTAGCTTCATTACAGGACATGTTGTAGATATGCAGTATTCTATTTATCCGGTTATATAGGGTTATCGATCTAGACTGAAATTGGTTCCGTGACAAATGACAATGCCGGAAATTGGCGTCTTTTTTTTTTCGCGCGGCCATCGACCAAGTCATGTTTTTTGGATACAAAATAGTAAAATAAACCAAACTTACTATGACATGTATACCTCTAAACTCAGTCTGAACTGAGTTACGAGCGTTAGAAGTTTGATGATTTACATACTAGATTTGCTTTTTGCGCGCAAGTTTTGTAAGAAATTGCAACAAAATAGTGACATTGTATATGTAAACAAACAATACCATCCATTAAAGGCTCCAGACATCAGTGTGGAGTAGAATCAGCGCAATAAAAAAATTGCGCAATATTTTGTTGCAATTTCTTACAAAACTTGCGCGCAAAAAGCAAATCTAGTATGTAAATCATCAAACTTCTAACGCTCGTAACTTAGTTCAGACTGAGTTTAGAGGTATACATGTCATAGTAAGTTTGATTTATTACACTATTTTGTAATAAAAAAACAAAGTTTGGTCGATGGCCGCGCGAAAAAAAAAAGACGCCACCTTCCATATAAAATCTGGCATTGCCATTTGTGTGGATGTTTAAATTTGGAATAACATTGTATGGATTACGTTTTGCATTAATAACACTGCACAACAGCATTTCTGATGATTGGGTTATGTTACATGATATTAGTCCAATTTTTAATGACGATTTCAAATCTGTAATTAAAATGTCTGTATCAGCTCTGGTTAAAAAAATATGACACTTGGGTCTTTTTGTAAAAAAACACTCTTTTTTTAGAGATGATCCTATTTTATGAAGTTGTTAAGTTGAAAAAACTTTCTTTTATTTGACTTCCTTGCTGATGCTGAAGGCAGACAGCTCTTCTGAATGATTCAACAGCAGTCAGCCATCATGTGTGCATTCCAGTGGCCCTGATAGCGTCCCTCTATCGTACGAAGGCCCTGGTGGATTTGCTCGCCATGTTCTTCACTTAGATCCTTAAGAGTTGTGATAAAATTGTTCAGGTGATTGCGAAGAGAGTGTAATTCGATGTTTATATTACATCCAACCAAAAAAACATGTTTGTAAGTGATTTATACGTTGTTCGATGTGTAAGAATAGTAAGATTTTTTCGGATTTTCCAAAAAAAAATTAAAATACCAAAATAACTCATTCCATGTCTTTTCGGAAGACTTGAAGATCCTAAATCTCTAAAACGATCGTTTAAACCATCTTGGCTACATGGTTTTGAAAATTTCGGGTCACATTCAAAGTCTCTACCACACTGACAGTTTTCGCCTCAAAATCCTCATGTGAAGTATCAACATGAGGTTCAGGTGACTTCTTAGGGTTGAAACAAATTTGTGTGGATGTTTAAATTTGGAATAACATTGTATGGATTACGTTTTGCATTAATAATAGGATCAGGAGTTGTGTTTTTGTGAGTTTTTAAGACACATAGAAATATGTATAGCTGCCTTACGGTTAGCACGTTACAGTCTTCATAGATTTTTACGGTACTGTAAGTAGGTTTTACTAGTAATAAAACTTTCAAAATGCATCTTTGGGCGCGTTCAAGTTGGATCAGTTTGGTTTTATGAGTTCCACCCCAGATGGGTAGACAATAGGAGATGACAGACTGCACCAAGGTTTTATAGATTTGTATCAAAAGTTGTCTATCGGAGACATGCCTAAGATATTTAAAAAGCCATATCAGTTTCCTCACACGTGATGTACAGTTTTCAATCTGTTTATGCCAGTTAAGCTGTTGATCAATATATATGCCGAGATATTTAACAGATGAGACTTTTGTTAAGGCGGTGCAGTTGCAGGGAGTAGCCGGGTAGTTATTGCATCCGTGAGCTGTTAATTGAAGGTCAGTCGGTGGTTGAAAACGATTTAAAATAGAGAAAGTCATGTAATTTGTTTTTCCGGTGTTCAGTGTTAATAAGTTATATTTAAGCCACTTTATTACAACTTGTAAACCTACTTCCGCTTTATTGTATACTTCAGCCCAGTTTTGTCCATGGAAAAGGAGGGCCGTATCGTTGTAAGAACATAACACTTTTTTACATCGTCTCAAAGGTTCGTAAGCAAAATCGATTCAGTATACTGATACTACTGATCTGAACCAGTGGGTTCAGATCTTACTATCTTTACTGATTTTACTGTCTTAATATTTGTAAAAAACTAAGACAGTAAAAGTTATTTTATTATAATTATTTATTCTTAGTTTACTGCTGAAGATAGGCAACATTATTGTCTCAGATGTCAATTTACATAATTTCTTCTTGACTTACCTTCGACCTTACAAGCGCCATGTTTGACATTCGGCTCGTACTTGATGATCTGGGTGTGGTCGCTGAGATTGAGCTCCGACTTGATGCTCTTGAGTTCCATCTCACTCTTGAGAGCCTCTTCTTTCAGCATCTCGGTTTCTGAGTCGAGGCGTTCAGCGTCGGACGGCGCGGGCTCTTTTTTCTCTCGACCTGATAAAAAGGATAAGCATTAATAAGACTGTTTTTGTATCTACTTATATTCCGTTCATGTAAAAATCCTGACTGGAATGAGAAAATGATGGGGACTTCTTTAAGTGCTTCTTTAAAAACTCGATATCGGTGAATCCAGTGTCATTCAAATACACATCATTTTGTATGCACAATGAGGAAGCTCTTGGCCTGCATTGCACCTGATGAAAAGTGATGATCAGGCCGAAGGTGGAAGCGAGCTTCAACCGGAATCCTCAACCATACAGCAACTAGTTAACTTACCTCCAACTGTACTCAAGTAGTCAAGATGGTGGTAGCTATCCAAGCGGACTTAGAATGAGCCCTACCTACACTCCAAACGAAGCAGAAATGTTGCCCTGAGAATCAAGCTCAGAACCTCTGGGTTTGAAACAGGTGGTCTCACCACTAGACCAAAGAGACAGCAGGTAAACTCCGAGCGTAGCACGCTCTATCGCCCTTTAGGTGACTTTGAGCCTGCGAGGCCCATAGTAAGCAGCAACTAAGCACGCTCCATCGGCCTTTGGGAGACCTTGAGCCTTGAGGCCTATAGTAAGCGACCTTCGGGTGACCTTGAGTCTTCTTATGAGACCTGTAAGCGACCATTAAAGGACTCCTACCTCTCTTCTTCCTCCGGGCGGCTGGGGGCGCGCGCGCGCGGGCCTGCGCGGCCTCCAGCGCCTGGTGGTAGGCCATGGTCTCAGCTGCGCCGACTCCAGCGCCTCCACCAACACGCCGCGCTTGTTGACTCGCTTGTGTGGGGTCAATAGAGTGAGACAGAGAGACAGAGAGTCCAATCTATGTATCTAGAGTATCTAATGTATCTGTCCCGTACCTGTCTTCTTAATGTCAAACTTCAAACTCCACCTTTGAACAGATATCGGCAAAAACAGTGTGCTTCAAATACGCAGCGTTAGAGCCATTAAAAAGACTCGTTCGACCGTTCATTTCAGCCAAGTGACTACCATAACAACCGATCCTGTGCTAGGTGCTTCTTGCAATCTTCTATAGATCGTCGGTGCACCTAGTGGAAGCCCCGATCCTGTGCTACCCGCATCCAGGTGCTTCTAGTGACCTTACCAGATCGTCGATCCACCTAGTGAGAGAACCAATACGGTCCCTTGCATGGCACAGCCTGCTTAGTTTATGTTTGCTATGAGCTGTGTGCCACGCCTACTGTCACTTAAGTTTGACAATTCTGCGAGATATGGTGGGTCACTTTGGTTTTCCTGCGAGTTACGCAGGAAAACTCTGCGCATAGCACGCTCCATCGCCCTTTGGGTGACCTTGAGCCTTGAGGCCTATAGTAAGCGACCTTCGGGTGACCTTGAGTCTTCTTATGAGACCTGTAAGCGACCATTAAAGGACTCCTACCTCTCTTCTTCCTCCGGGCGGCTGGGGGCGCGCGCGCGCGGGCCTGCGCGGCCTCCAGCGCCTGGTGGTAGGCCATGGTCTCGACTCCAGCGCCTCCACCAACACGCCGCGCTTGCTGACTCGCTTGTGTGGTGTCAATAGAGTGAGAGAGTCAAGTAAGAGAGAGAGAGAGAGATAGTATCTAAAGTGTCTAATGTATCTGTCCCGCACCTGTCTTCTTAGTGTCTTTCAAACTCCACAGTGTCTCTTTAAACACTTGACATTGACGAAACCAGTGTGCTTCAAATACACATCATTTTTAGCCACAACGAGGAAGCTCTTGGCCTGCATCTTACCTGATGGAAAGTGGTGATCAGACCGAAGATGGAAGCGAGTTGCACCCAGAATCCTCTCAAAGAGGAACTGGCTAACTAACCCCAACTGAGCTGGATGAATCTCCTCCAAGGATTTCCACAATAACAGCTCCTACGCTGCCCGCATCCAGGTGATTTTTACCAGATCGTCGGTCTACCTAGTACGCAGCCTACTTTACATCTTCCGGCCCGTGGTTCTGCCAGAACTCCCATCAGCTCTACGAGCTATGTGCCCCGCCTACTGGCACTTAAGTTTAGCAATTCTGCGGACTCTCTTTGCTTTTCCTCATTCTGGCTCCGTTACACAAGGAAACTCTGAGCATAGCACGCTCCTTTGAGCCTTATGAGGCCCTCGGTAAGCGACTCACCTCATTTCTTCTTCTTGGCGGCGTGGGCCTGGTTACGCGGGAAAACTCCGAGCATAGCATGCTCCATCGCCCTTGAATGACTTTGAGCCTGGAGACCTACCTCTCTTCTTCCTCCGGGCGGCTGGGGGCGCGCGCGCGCGGGCCTGCGCGGCCTCCAGCGCCTGGTGGTAGGCCATGGTCTCAGGCTGCGCCGACTCCAGCGCCTCCACAAACACGCCGCCGCACTTGCCGAGCGACCAGTAGCGGCGCCAGTACCTGAGGATAGAAAAAAAATCGTTTATTGCTTGCTTTACAAAAAAGGAATTACAAAAAAAAACTTATATTTAAAAGGTGGAAGCAACAGGAGGTGGCTCAGCTTGTGCTGCCAAGGACTACTTGTCCTTTTCAGCTATCCCCACTTAGAAGAAGAAGTTCATGTTATGTTGCAGTAGACTTTTAATGAAGAATTTTATCGATTTTGGACGATACGTTTGTCATCTAAAATCGTCGATAAGACTTTGTCATGACGCGCATCCTAGCCCGTCTGGTCATGTTAGGTGGTAACAAGTCCGTGAAATAAAACTCATCTTTCCTCTGTAAATACTATTGTATACACGGCCACACTGTTAACTATCCATTTCCGTTTTTGCTCTCGCTCTCATCAAATGGCGATTCTTTGAGATAGAACGAACGACACGACAAGCAATGGATAGTTAACACTGTTGCCGATGGTACATTAAATATTTCTTGTTTTTGAGTTCGTGTCCATAGAAGCTGTGATAGCGGGCAGGTCAGTTTGTTAAATTAATCAATTTTAACATTTTATGACAAGTGAATATTAGCAAACTAAAATGTAATAGTAGGTATTTTTTTTTATAAAAATCGAGCTAATCACTGTTTAAAAGACGCATTATGCTTATATTTAGCCCTGAATGGTGGTACGCAAAACCTTAAAATGTTCATAGACTTACAAAAAGACAGTGATCAGTCAAGTAAAAAAAAACAGTGAAAACAATGGCAACAGGCTCTAAAAATTTGTCGTTTATCTGACAGATAAGTTGATGATAAACTATCACTCGTGCGTTACCTGTCCTGGCCATAGCAAGTAGCACGAAGCGCGTGCGAGCCGGCCGCGAGAGATTGTAACTGTTGCTCGGACTGTCGCGTCAGTTTCTCTAACTTGCGAGCTAGCTCCTCTGAAGATAGGTTCTTGTCTTCGTCCTGTAATGATAAGTTATATTAAAGTATAGCATGTTAAGTGTAAAAGCCCCACTGATAGCGAGTCGAAAAAGAAGGCTTCCGTAACATATCGTGCAAATAAATAAAAAATACTAATAGCACTTAATAAGAGGCGAAAAGAAATCAGAAATTTTCTCGTGAAACCGGCTCTAAAAATGTAGTTGTCGAAACGATTTTCTGATAGACTATCAGGGAGTTTAACGGTGAGTGTTAACTCAATAATGTGTGTTCAATCTGATCGATAAGTTGAGTAATTTTATCTTGGTGGGGCGCGTCTTCGTGGATGGCACGATCTATAACAATTCCAGAAAATAAACACTAACCTCCTCCGGTTGAGTGCCTTCGCTCTCCAAATCGCTCAATATCGCATCACAGTCGCCCATAACGCTGTCCTTATCCAACTTAGAATTATCTGCTGGGGAACATTCCTCCTTATTGTTATTCAGAATCTCTTTGTTCTTCATGTTATTTGATAAGTCCTTTAGGGGCGAGAGTTCCTTGTCACTCTCCTCCGGCTCTTTGTATGGAGAAGGTGGTTTTTCGTCTTCAGGATGGGGCGAGTCTGGTTTCTTGGGTGTGCTTTTTTCTGATGGTGGTTGTTCTGTAAAGAAGAAGAATTTTATGAGATAGTCAAGACACTATAGTCTATCCAATATAGCTTGATTAGAATGACGGCTGTCAAACGAATGTGACTAGTGATGGGTATGTTTCACACGGTTCACATAGATGTATCGATAAGTTTTCGAAAAAATGATATAAAAAAATGCACCCAATTTTTCGGATTCGACCAAACGAGTTCCACCAAATCGTCAGTTTTGACATATATTTTCCATACTGAAACTGTCAATGTGTCAGTTAAATTAGGAGTTATTCTCGGATAAAAGTTTGGTCGAATCGGGCCTAAATTCAATTGGACATCAGACATTAGGAGAAAAAATAGCTTCTTAGCCGCAGCATACCTTCTAAAGGAATAACCTTTTCTATGCAACAGTTTCACTAGTATACCCTGGGGGAAATCGAACCTTTACTTCAAACTCCTATGTTCTTCTGATTAATTTCGTTGCAGGTCCAATGATAGTTTAACTTTCCCCCGGGACAAACTTGACCTTCACTGGTTGGGTTGTTTTCGGTCAAGCTGTAGATCCTGGCTACACAGGAGTTGCAGCGGTGGGAATGAGTGGTGGGAATAATAGTCCCATAAGAAATCAGAAATATTTATTTGCTTTTACATGGTTTTACAAGATATTATTCATATTCAAGGGTTTCAGCAACGGAGGTAAGTTCACTGATGATTTGCTCGAATTTATGGCCTTAAATGAGCTGGAGCAATATAATTGTGTTTTAAATGTGAAGGATAAAATACTAGACCTGGTACTTTGTTCAATTGCCATTACGGAATTGGACCTAAATTCAGATCCTTTAACATCAGTGGATCCGTTGCATCCACCGCTTCAATTCATAGTCCCTAGTGCTGACCCTGTAACTCTTTTGCCGAATAGTGACGTAAAGTTCTGTTTCTTCAAGGCTGATTACGTTAAGATAGTTGCTGCGCTACAGAAGATATCATGGAACGACGTATTACCGGACGACCTTGGAGTTGATCTGATGTCGACCAAATTCCATGCCATCCTTCGCAATGTAATCGAGAAGCATGTCCCGAAGTCTAAACCACCAAACTATAAGTTCCCGCCCTGGTTCACGCCGAGCCTTATCAAATCATTAAAAGAAAAACACAAATGCAGACTAAAAGTGCGCAAGTATAACAAAAATCCACGTGATATTTTAGAGTTTGAGCTGTTAAGGCATAGATGCTACCAACTACAAAAATCTGCATACAATAAACACCTGAGTAACCTGGAACAGACATTAACTTCTAATCCTAAATTTCTATGGTCCTTTATCAAGCAAAAAAGGAAGGGTAAAAGTATGTACCCAGCGGAAATGTCTCTCGGGGATGTTGCGGCGACTGAGGGCAGGGAAATTTGCAATCTATTTGCTTCCCATTTTGAGTCTGTGTATAATCGAGATGCTCCCCGAGCTGCTAATGCCTCGACATCGGATCACTCTGGTAACGTCTGTCTCGCTTCTGTCGTCTTTACCAGGGATCAAGTTTATCGAGTTTTGAAGAGACTGGACTTGCATAAGGGAGCGGGTGAAGACGGACTGCCGTCGGTGTTTGTGGTAAGGTGTGCCGATGTTCTTGCATATCCATTATCACGCATATTCAACAAATCATTGAGTACCGGCACATTCCCATCGAATTGGAAGACATCATTGGTTCTACCTTTACATAAGTCTGGTCATCTGGGTCATGTTGATAACTACAGGCCAATTTCTATTCTTCCTACATTTGCCAAAGTGTTTGAATCGATGGTAAGCCCCTTGATTTCCTGGCATTTCCGCCAATTGGTTTCTCCGCATCAGCATGGCTTTGTGAAGGCAAGATCAACTTCCACCAACCTAGTAACCCTTGTAGAGGATTTGGTGAGATCTCTTGACCAGGGAAAGCCTGTGGATGTTATCTATACAGACTTCAGTAAGGCTTTCGATAAAGTCAATCACGATGTACTACTTCGAAAACTTTCCTTGATTGGTATTAGTGGAAACCTACTGAATTGGTGTGGATCATACCTACAGAAACGAAAGTCAGTAGTGGTAGTGAATGGCTACACGTCGGATCCTTTCGATGCCTCTTCTGGAGTCCCACAGGGATCTATTCTCGGCCCAATTTTCTTCAACATCTTTATTAATGATATTCATCTTTGCTTTAAAAATTCTAACATTTACTTGTTTGCCGATGACCTCAAGATTCTGAGGCAAATTGAGGACATAAGTGATACTAAACTACTACAGGAGGATTTGGATAGTCTGGTTGAATGGTGCGAGGTAAACGGCATGTCTCTAAACGCGAAAAAATGTTTTGTAATTAATTTTACCCGTAACAAAACGTCCATCGCTAGAGATTATACTATAGGACCTGACAAACTTATGGAATTGAATTGTATTCGTGACCTGGGAGTGACTCTTGATAATAAACTGCGATTTAATATTCATATAGATAACATTGTAAATAAGAGTTATAAATTACTTGGATTTGTGTTGCGAAACTGTAAAGAGTTCAAGAAGCCACAAACTAAAATAGTTTTATACAACGCACTCGTGCGAAGTGGTCTAGAATATTGTAGTGTAGTGTGGAATCCACATTACGACGTTTATATAAAAAAACTTGAGCGCATCCAAAAAAGGTTTTTATGGCATCTGGCATTCAGTGTCAACCTGGCAAAAAAATTACCCCACTATCAAGATAGATTACGTTACTTCAAGTTAAATACTCTTCAGGAACGCCGCTGTGTGCTTGATAATTCGTTTTTATACAAATTGGTCAACGGTGCTTTTGACTGCCCTAACCTGCTCTCAAAAGTTAATCTAAACGTTCCCTATAAGTTGCCTAGGATATCCCGATACAACTTGTTCGCGACCAGGAGCTCCAAATCAAATCTAGGTCTGTTTTCCCCTTTAAATAGAATGTTAAATCAATACAATGCCCTGTCTAGGTCCAATAATGTTAATGTTGATATTTTTTTCCTTAGTTTACGTAAATACAAGTCCACATGCTTGGACAAATCTCACCGATTTGAACAAGCATAGGGACTTCTTTACCCCATAATTATTAAATAAGTATTTTTAGTTTTTAATCCCTAATTGCTGTTGCTTTAGTCTCTAACGCATGATGTTTTCACCTATAATTAAGTTTGCATTTAACAAGTGTCATTTTACGTACGTACTTTTGTGAAGCCTCAATGTAACCTTGTTGGTGTTCAAATAAATAAAATAAATAAATAAAATAAATATTCATATATGTATATACATAGTCTATTGTCGTCAAATAACTCTAGTGAGAGTTTTGCTCACCATCGTCTGTAGGCGGCGGCGAAGTGCTGCGTGTAGCAGCGCTCTCTTTAAACAGCCACTAAATATTATCTCTACTACTAATCTAACTATAGCTCTAGTGAGCGTTTTGCTCACCTTCATCCGTAGGCGGCGTCGAAGTGCTGCAAGTAGCGGCGTTCTCCTCAACCAGCCGCTGCATGTGCTCTAAGGTAATAACACTAATCTAACTAAAGCTCTAGTGAGCATTTTGCTCACCTTCGTCCGTTGGTGGCGGCGAAGCGCTGCGCGTAGCGGCGCTCTCCTCAACCAGCCGCTGCATGCGCTCTAAGGTAATAACACTAATCTAACTAAAGCTCTAGTTAGTGAGCATTTTGATCACCTTCGTCTGTTGGTGGCGGCGAAGCGCTGCGCGTAGCGGCGCTCTCCTCAACCAGCCGCTGCATGCGCTCTAAGGTAATAACACTAATCTAACTAAAGCTCTAGTGAGCATTTTGCTCACCTTCGTCTGTAGGCGGCGGCGAAGTGTTGCGAGTAGCGGCGCTCTCCTCAACCAGCTGCTGCATGCGCTCTAAGGTAATAACACTAATCTAACTAAAGCTAGAGCTTTAGCTCACTAGAGTGAGCATTTTGCTCACCTTCGTCTGTAGGCGGCGGCGAAGTGCTGCGTGTAGCGGCGCTCTCTTCAACAAGTCTCTGCATGCGCTCCAAAGCTAGCGCTTGCTGCTTCTCAGTCTGTTCTGTGCGCATCTTCCGTTGGTGGAGGACTCGCACTCTGTAAGGAAAGGTAGTCAATCAAAGACATCTCCTAGAGAAACTTTTACATAAAAGGCACCTGTTTATTAAAGCAATACAACTTCGAAAAATGCCGAAACGATTTTCTCGCGAGATGTAAATAGCCACACTTAACGAACCGGCAAGCTCCAAACTAGCGGTGCACTTAAGCTCGCACACTATCTAATGTGGCCGTGCCGTATTTCAAACAGTCATCAACACAATTTCATACAAAAAGCACTCCGTTCTGAGAGAACTGACCTAACCAAAAATGACTTCAAACCACGAAAACAAAATGCTCACGTGAATAATGTTTCATTGGTCTTATTAAACAACCTAGTTTCGAAAGTCTCACGGTATATCTGCCTCTCTCACTCGCTCGTAATCGACTACGAGTTTGTGCTACAAATTAGTTGTTGAGGAACTACAAATACTAAACAATAACTTACTGAGCAAAATCACAGTTCAGCTTAGCCTGTGTAGTAATACGAATAGCACATTAAACTGAACAGTGAATGCTCTTATGCAACTGTAATAGAGGCTATATCACAACATAAAACTAAAGCCTGGTCTCTGAGCACGTAGAAATTTGTCCAATGACCCCAAGCTACTCATCAGTACCGCTCGCGCGTAATTATGTTGCTGTTGCGCTCGCACACTCACTGCGGGCGCCCGTCGCACAGTCGCGACAGCAATATAATTACGCGCGAGCGATAAGGATGGGTAACTTGGGGTCATTGGACAAAATTCTACGTGCTCAGAGACCAGATTATAACAACAAAATTCGACTTACTTCCTGATCTTCATGTCCATCAAATACCGCTCCTTCTTCAGCTGGTTCAAGTTCTCCAAAGACTGGTCGATTTGCCGCAACACTGCTTTGTTTTGTAACAGTTCGTTGCAGATAAAGGCTAGGATCTTGGCCTTGGTCGTCGCGTTCAGGGCTAAGAATGGCTGGTCACGGAGGGCCTCTGTGGACAAAATTGTTTCATTAGTATTGAGAGAATGAAACATTATAATGGGACACCACATAAATAAAAATAGGTAGGTATATTGTAGTGCGGAGATTCTTCCCTTACTGAGAGATTTTTTCATTCCCACTCTGCTACACCCCGCTTACTACACTAATATTATAAAGAGGAAAACTTTGTTTGTTTGTTTGGTTGTAATGAATAGGCTCAAAAACTACTGGACCGTTTTTAAAAATTCTTTCACCATTTGAAAGCTACATTATCTACGAGTAACATAGGCTAAATTTTATTTTGGAAAAAAATAGGGTTCCATAACATATGTAGATAATGTAGTCCACGCGCGCGAAGCCGCGGGCGGAAAGCTAGTTATTTGTATAGAAACGGCGCAAATCTTTTATCAGCTCTGTTCAACTGTTTCAACTAAAGATGAGCGGAGACGAGAGGTGTAAATAACGAAATTCTATTGGTTGCTTAAAATACCTCGTCTCTGATTTGTTGGAAAACTAATTCTAGTCAACACATCTCGCCTCCAATGTAACCTTAACCAGTACGCTTTTCCATACAGTTCCGGTCCCTAGCTGAAAAATAGTTTCTTCTCATCTCCGCTTTTGTGAACCTATAGGTTCTGTCAAATGAGACAGGGCGTTAATCGTACGATTGCAGGACCGTATAGACTGTTGACAATTCATAATTCCATCGCAGTTGTCTTACAATTTTCCGTGTCAGTCCTGCAAATGGACGTCTGGATCAAAACGTCTAATTTCAAAGAGCTCTTACTTAGACCTCCGTTCTTAGGCAGAGACATGTCCAACAGTGGGCTATTGACTCACCGGACAGCTTGTAAGTCTGGTTGGCGTGTAACTGCTCGTAGTAGGCCGCGTTCTTAGAGTGCGCGCACGCATGCTGCATTTCTGCGTCGCTTTGATGGTGGTCTGCTACGCGGCGCTCGCGCTCACGCTCTGCGGTTAGCCCTGTGAGCAAGGGATAATGAGTCTTATGTCCTAAGCGTGAAGGTTCAGACGTTTAGCTACGGTAAAACGACATGCCAATATCAGGACTGTTCAGGAAAGAAAATAGTACGAGTGTAACGTCTGTCGTGCTTCATTCATTACTGATACTATTGCAAGTGGTCTATAGCATTGTGTACCACTATTTGTGCTTTTAATAGTCCCATAGATATTTAGGTTTGTGTTCTACTACAGTTCGGTATCTCTAATGATCGCTGATGAACACCATGCCAAATATGGGCTAAATGCTAAGTATTTAGCCGTAGATTAACTCCAACTTTAAGATAGATCAACAGATCACACGGGCCCTAACTGCTAGATTTTATCAAACCAAACAGAAATCTGACATCAACGAATATCAAGAGAAAGCAGCCAGTATATTTTTTAATATGTCTTTGGAAGTTGGAACCGTTGGAGATAAGATTTGTCGTTGAGGATTCCGTGTTCAGCCAGATCATCATAACTTTCCATAAGGTGAGATGCACGCAGGCAAAGAGCTTCCTGTTTGTGGAATAAAAAAAGTTTCTGACGAATCCACTAAACTATCTTCCTGATATCTGTTAGGCAGGACTTACCAGTGAGCGCCTTGATCTCCCCAGTAGCGTTTGCGTACAGGTATATCCGCAGCACCTCACTCAGATTGGCAGGCGTGATGTCACCCATACGGATAGCATGACCGAGTAATGTAGTATGCCGTCCCGGGTGTGGAATGCCTGGATCCTCTGTAAAATAAGAAATATGGTTAATTATATCCCACTAAAAACAAAAACACAAGAAAGCTAATAACTGTTGAATGTGGTTTAAAAAACAGGCAATAGTTGTAGGTGGAGATGGTATCATTAAAATGGCCCCCAAGCCCAGGGGCCCCCGAATCCTTGCCAGAAAATCACAATTGAAAAGAACTTTGAAAATTTCTCACATTTTAAAAATAAATAGAGAGAAATTAAAAAGCTGTATCAGGAGTAAGTAAGTTTAATGTCAATTTTGATAAAACCTAACCAGTTTAGATTGCAGTGGGGCCTCATTTTTTTATTTGCCCCAGAGCCCTTGGTCTTGGCCTAGCTACGCCACTACTTGTTACAGCAAATTACAAACTAGACTTGTCAAATATGAGCTGGGCAATGCTTGTTTGGAGCTCAGAGGGCCTTTATTAATCTAAGCTCAGAGGTTTATACAATGTTTTCACAGCGCCGACAAAAGAATATTATGATGATCTTCATGGTTGAAAAGTTCTAAATGTTTTAGTTGGCCATACATATTTTACAATATCTTGGCCATATTGCGATGTGTCTAATGAATAAGATAAGGAGCTCCTTAGAAGTAGACACTTATTGTGTCCAGTAGCTTCCACTTCAACAACTCAGTTTCCTGTGAATTTGTGCTGAATCGGAAGAAAAAAGTATCTCCTTTTGTCTTTGATTACTCATTTATATACATGGATAAAGGTTAACTTACCAATGGCACAAACCAGTAGCTGGGTCAAAACCTGCACTAGTTCTTCTTCTGCATCAACCGAGCAGTCCGGCAATAAAGCCAGCTGGAAAGTGTTCAGAGTCGGGATGTTGTCTACGTCTGTAACAAGATAAAGCAATTATAAGAATTGTCGAGTAAAAGAGCAAAAAAGCACGGCTGTACCATTCTTTTCTTGAAGCCATTCGGGCCATTATGGACCACCTCAGACCCAGAGGTATCGGGTTCGATTCTCAGTAGGGGCAACATTATCAGCTCGTTTTTTGTTGAAGTCTGCCTGGCTAGCTACTACTCGTATCATACCTAAGGCAGTCGTCATAAAACCAATGTTAACAGCATTGTTGGTTTCTGGCAGTTGAAGTTAAGATAGCCAGATCCTTTATGGTTGAGAAATTCGGGTGAATCTCGCTTTTACCTTCGGCTTGATCATACTTTCCATCAGGTCAGATGCAGGTCAAGAGCTTCTCTGCTGGATAAAAGAGTACTCAATAGTTGTACACTTACAAATACCCTGGATAAACTTCGCTGGTTGGGTTTTTATTGGGCGGTTCAGCTATATCCGTCTACACAGGAGTTGCAACGATGGGAACGGAAGGTGGGAATAGTTCCGTTACAAATAAAAACTACTCACCAAATCCTAGTGTCTGCCCAAAGTTGTGTATGAACTCGTACACTTGAAGTATGTCCGCGAAAGCCTGCCCCGGAAGCTTGAGGCCGGGGATCCGCGCGAGGGTCGGCAGAGGTTTTTTATCCGAGAGGGATGAGTCCTCTTGCGGCCGTCTGTAGAAAAAGGTCTCATTGAGTTTAGAAATGTAAGTGTTTAGAATTAAATAAAACTACTTATAAGTAACTAGCTTATGACAGTGGCTTTTGGAGAGTGCATAAATTCCCTAAAAATAGCCTACAATGTACTAAATATAAATTTTGCATTAAGCTCGCCTTTTTGTACGGAACATTGTTGTGTGTGCAATAAATTCTTGAAATAAGTAAATAAATAAATAAATAACAATAATAATTTAGACCCGTGAATTTCGATCTGTCACAGTATTTATCGCACGCATACGTGTCTCACTTCCAAAAAACTATCCTATTTTTATCTTTGGGTCTTAAACTAATATAAATATAGGTACGAGATTCAGTAGATTAAGCGTGAAAGAGTAAGAAACATTTCTCCATCTGTCACACAGTCTGTACAGTGTACACACTTGTCCTCTCCTCAGGTTGTCTACAAGAGATCCCTTTCTGGTGATAAGACCGCCTAAATTATGCCATTTCAAATCAGTTTTTTTTTGTCTTGTGGTGTGTTATTAAGAGTATCTAACAATGTAATTATTTGAGAATACAGAGTGTTTCCCTATTAGGTTTGTGAAATGGGCGTGGCCTATCTTCTATCTCCCTCTCACCTCAATTCAGCCAATAGCTCCATCTCCTTCCGTCTCTGCTGCAGCTTCTTTTCTTTGACCAGCAGTCTGTCCAGTAGGTTCTGGTGCTTTCTCCTCTCCTTATCCTCCCATCTCTTTCTAGAGTCCAGTTGGCGGATGAACGTCGTGTGCTGCCGTCTTCTTTCGCGTTCCTGGGAGAGAAAGGGATGGAAATATAGATAGGTATAGAGTAATGGGAGTAAATACCGTTACCCTAGAAAAGAAAGAGATAGGGATAAAAAAATACTAAACTTTCACTAAAATAAAGCCCACCAAATAAGCGATAAGTAGATATTTGAAATACTCCTAATGAGCTCACAATATGAGATTTGTTGAACTAATTTGAATATCTATAGAGTAATTTCAAAGCAATGAAATATTCAATTTTACAGTTATGGGAAAGTTAATTAATTGAATTTTAGGGCCAAAGTGGAGTGTATAATGGCAATTATTATGTATAAATCATTGTCAATAGTCAAATAGAAATCGTACGTGTGGAAGGTTAATAAAGCAAAAATTAAAAGAAAAACACGGTGTTTTTGGCGAATAACTCAATCCATTTTACTTTAAACCACACAATAAATAAAACAATAAATAAATTACATTTTTTGCCACGCCACATGCAAATAATATTCCGCACAAAATAAATACCAACATATTAAAAAAATAACTGCTGTAAATAAAACCACAACCCCATAACGCCTAGTGATGTTAAATAATGAACCTAAGCAGCCGGTAATAAGGCAGAAAATACCACAAACCATGTATTTAACTACTGTATAACTTAATTACCTCAGTTATATACTTTTGCTGCACCCGTGATGTGGCATTCCATTTCGGGAATGAGAAAAATACACATTTAATATACATAACACACAAATTAAACACATTGTATACATATAAACTTTCATTCCAATTTTAAGAGCAGTCTTTGCAATTTACTTGATTACATCAATATTTAATTTAGCTTAATACGAGGGGCTAACGGGAGTATTATGGAGCTCGCAAACTCTCTGCGGGCGCCCGTCGCACAGTCGCAACAGCAATATAATTACACGCGAGCGATAAGGATGGGTAGCTTGGGGTCATTGGACAAAATTCTATGTGCTCGGAAACCGGGCATAATCCAGAATAATCTTTAAAAGTGGCGAACTTAATGTCGGGAGGCATTCTCTGCCAGTCAACTACAGGTCAAGCAGAGAAAGTAAGGCTGTGCAAAATTAGATTTTTTATGTAATTTAAGCATGAATTCTATAGTCATAACTTAAGAACCGTTCCAGACAATATCATAATATTGTCAGGAGGGCGTTACTATCTACCTACTGATTTATTAGTTCCAATTATTGCCACGTTGGACAGCCATAATTATAATTATGACAATACTGGGTTAGTTTTTGATTTTTGCCACTTGAAGTTTCAAAATTGTTGGACTATTTTTCAATAAATAAATTTAAATTCTTCATCAAAATGCAAAGACTGTCTAAGTTCATCCAAATTCCAAATACACACACATTCAACATGCGCTTTGCACACAAGTACAAAATGAGTAAATATTCACCTGTTCTTTTAGTAGGATAGCCTGTTGTCTCTTCAATTCTCTCTCCTGTAACAAAACACACGTTTAAGAATAAGAATAACAAAAACTTTATTTGACACAAAAAGAAAAAAAGAAAAACAGAACAAAGGGATTTTATGCCATAAAGGCGCCCGCTTTGTCCCGAAGAACTATAAGGACTTAACTAAGTCAGAGCCTGAGGTATGGGGGCGGCGCGGGAGGGTGTTTTATGACGTCAAACGTTAACGAGACTACCGAGATCTCCTTTCGTGCCGCTCTCATAATATACCTTAGGCAGTACTGAGTTATGCGCTAGCCCGTCAACTGTAATATTTTTCTCGCTCTATAGTTTGGTCTGTGAGCACGTAGAATTTTGTCTAATGACCCCAAACTACCCATCCTTATCGCTCGCGCGTAATTGTGTTGCTGTCGCGCTCGCACACTCACTGCGGGCGCCCGTCGCACAGTCGCGACAGCAATACAGTGTGAGTCACGTTAAAGTGTACATATGAAAATAGATGAAACTAGACCTATTTTTATCGACAAAAAAGAGGTCAAAAAATTTTTGAGATTTTTTTTAAATTTTTTATAGTATTTTTTTTCTTCCAATTACTTATTGTAAAGAAAACGTAATAACTTTTAAACTAAGCGGTATATCCTGATAAAATAAAAACAGTAATAATGCTAAATAACAAGCGATACTAAACAAATACATAAAAAACACAAAAAAGGCCAACAAATAATAAAAAATGATACTTTTTGAAAAAAATCTGCTTTTAAATTCGTGTTTTTTTGGTTATTTGATAAATTTCTCCAAAAAATTCCCCTATAACTGGTGGTTTTTATTACTTTGTATTATTCTCTATCGTATTACCTTCGTAAAACCAAAAATCGCATGTCTCTATCCCTATCACAACGTTTGCAATGATCGTTTGAACTAAGCCTCTCCGGGCGCGCCATTCAACGCTTCGTTAACAACAAAACTGAAAATGGCTCTAGATTTGTAATTTTGATAAAGACAAGTTAGATTTCAAATAAAAACAAAAGATTTCGAAGTAAAATAAGCATTTTAGTTAAAATTAAAATTGTCTCTACCTGTAGCGGAGAATAATGTTGTGGCAGGCCTTTGTTCAAACGATCATAGCAAATGTTGTGATAGGGATAGAGACATGCGATTTTTGGTTTTACAAAGATAATACGATAGAGAATAATACAAAGTAATAAAAACCACCGGTTATAGGGGCATTTTTTGGAGAAATTTATCAAATAACCAAAAAAACACGAATTTTTAAGCAGATTTATTTCAAAAAGTATCATTTTTTATTATTTGTTGGCATTTTTTGTGTATTTTATGTATTTTTTTAGTATCGCCTGTTATTTAGCATTATTACTGTTTTTATTTTATCAGGATATACCGCTCAGTTTAAAAGTTATTACGTTTTCTTTACAATAAGTAATTCGAAGAAAAAAAATTCTATAAAAAATTAAAAAAAAATCTCAAAAAAATTTTGACCTCTTTTTTGTCGATAAAAATAGGTCTAGTTTCATCTATTTTCATATGTACACTTTAACGTGACTCACACTGTATAAGTACACGCGAGCGATAAGGATGGGTAGCTTGGGGTCATTGGACAAAATTCTACGTGCTCACGGACCGGGCTTTAGAAACGTACGTACAGTCATTCATTTGCCTCTGGTAAATTAGAGAATCGCGCTCCTGCAGTGGAGACTAAAGGACCTGATGATGATGATGATACATTATTGGTGATCACTAATCACTGACCGTGCTTTTGAAAAGCCAACTTATTAACTAACTTAGATATGATAAGATAACTGTTGAACTGTCTTAATGTTTTTTGGCTATAAAAAGTGAGCTCTTTTTTTTTCAAAAATTCAATTTCGTTCGTTTCAGCCGAATGACGTTCACTGCTGGACAAAGGCCTCCCCCAAGGACTTCCACAATGACCGGCCCTCGGCGCCCGCATCCAGGCACCGCCCGCGACCTATACCAGATCGTCGGTCCACCTAGTGGGGGGCCAAGTGAAATTGATGAAGGGCCATTGAAAAAAATTAAGATGTAAATGTTATTCGGTTATTCTTTTTTCGCAAAACTGCCAAAATCCACTGGCACAGTGTGAGTATTTTTTTAAAACAGACAGACAAACACAATACCAACCTGTTGCCTTTTAGCTTGCTCCTCAATCTTCTGCTTCTCGATTTCTTCCTGCTTTTTTCGCTTAGCCTTCACAACATTCGTGCCAACAACATCGAAAGCGGTACAGCAAATTATAATCAAAACAGCGTACATGAAACAAAATCGCAAAATTACTCTAGTGTCAAGTAGTTTATTACTTAAAAAAAAGAAGTTAAAAACTTAAAAATTTCATTTAATTACAACAAAAAAAAATTATCATTATTTTTAATTTTTCCAGAATTAAAAAAATATTATCATTCAAATAAAAATACTTAGCTAAAATAAATTACAAAAGCTTTTCATGCTATAATAATATAGGTACACATATAAAAATATAATTTAGTAGTATTCTAGGCTAGTATTCAATCGACAGGTAACTCTTCCTTTTTTGTTACTGGCAACATTTATTTCTGCTTTCAAGTGATCTAGACACGCGGCAGCATGTCAAGCCAAGTACAAGCAAAGGAACTGGCTAGCCAGCGCCGTGTGTAATATTACACGAACCATTTGGTGCCACTTTTGACCCTTTAGGTAATTACCTAATACAAAATAGTGTTTTACTGCTTTTTCATGGATTGCGTGGAGTCAATTCTTAAACAATTTCAGGCACAAATACAAGATAAAATATTCCCTATAAGTAAACGTGTAAGCTAACGCTTTAAAACTTTTAAAATAAAATATTTACTTGAGTAAGAAAGAAGTGCATACAAGCGTGCAATTTATAACTTTCGAATCGAGCAAACCGTGTGATATTTTCAAATTCATTCGAAATGTTAGAAAAAGAAGAATCAAGATACATTATTGTTTAGGCACAACCTAAAGGTCAATAAGTTATTATCATAGAGTAAGAAAGCAGACAGAAGTGTCAGTAGTCAGAAATCTGCAGAATTCACTTAATAAGAAAATTCTAGTGCTACCCTCTAGTATTATTAAAACAGATCCCAGTTAGTGCAGTCACCTCCACAGAATATTAATGTATTAGTATAATAAACCGAAAGTTAGTATTAATTTCTTAGGGCAGACGTACCGGTCCGTACGTGTCCTTACTGGCAAACGGATGGACCGAGATCGATAGGGCTCCGTCTTTCCCGATATTAAAGGTCCCTTTACTAATCTTTTTGGCTATGATATCAGTCAGTATATTGTCGTCCTCCTCGCTCAAGTCAATGACCTCTTTCAGTACAGACTTTTGACTGTCTTTAGGTAAAAGCATAAGGTTTTGTGTCATGAACTCGTTTTTGGCGTCTAAATACTTCTTTTCTAAAATCTTTGCATCTTCAGTCTTTTTGTCAGCCGGTAATTTTGACCAATCACAGCCGTTTATGAATTCGGATATCCTGGAGTAGGATTCTATAAGCTTTTCTAAATTGTTCTCTTTGTCGGGGACTTTGGGTCGCTTTTCATTCGCTTTCATGAGCGAGAAGTCGAAGTATTTATTGTCTTTTGGCCGCTTTGGTAGATCGAAAGCGGCTTTCTCAGCGAAGTCCTTCATTTTGTCTAGAGCGTTGTATTCCTCTTCTTTATAATTCTGGTCAAAATTTATGGTTTTTATGGGCGAATTTTGGTTATCTTTCGGCCCTGGTACCGGTATCAACGACAAAGATATAGGCGGCATTATCCGCTCTTTCGGCGTCTTAGTCGCAGGGCCCATGACTATATCTGGTAATTTCCAATCACTATCGGTACCAGATTTCGGTATCGACGGCAGAGGCTCGATGGTGAGCTGCGTTCGGTTCTTGTTGATATGCTGTTTCGGATTACGATTTTTGTTAGTTCTTTTTTTTTTGGTATCAATTTTTTTCGGTATCTTTATTATCAATTGGATTTATGACAACATTGTCAATCCCGAACGTTGTTAGAATCACGTGACCCAGGAAGTTGGTAATACATAAATAAATATAAAAGATATACTATACTATATAAGACACACAGCTACTACCAACTAAAGAAGCTAATAAGAATTCTAACGCTCTACGGAAAAGCAAAAAGGTACCAATTTTCGTCATAATACCTAAAGGAACTTTTTGCTTTTTATAGAAAAAAACTACAGATAATATAATACGTATGTGAGCACAATGTTGCCAAGCGTCAAATTGATAATAAAAAATATAAAAAATAAAACAAACACAAGCACATGTATTTTTAAAAACATAAATATAGAGTAAAAAATTCCCGCGTTACAGATTTTACAAAAACAACTTTTCGCATTGTATTTTGAACTTTAAATGCATCACTTTAAATTCAAAATTACTTTATTACAGTTCAAGTAGAAAAAACTGTTTTCGAAAACTGTAAAGCGGGAGCCATTAAAAATATAAACACATACAAATCCCAATGATCTACTGAACATATATCCCAATACAGTCCCCATTGCATGTAGGTCTAGACAAGTGGCAATTTTCGAATCGAAAATTCATGGAGCGATGTAACTCCATACAAAAAACGCCCGAGCTAAGGCATTTCGACATTACAGGTCATAGCAGACTTATCAACTCGGAAAGGGATCAACACCGTATCGCCTTTTGCGAGCTGTCATCCCCTTTCGCGAGCTGTCATCGCCTTTTGCGAGCTGTCAACCGCGAGGCGAGGCGTTTATGTTATAGATGACTCGCGCTGAACTGTCCCACCAAACTCAATGACAGGGGGGCGCTACTATCGTTCAACTATATGGTTTCCAAAATGGCAAAAATCGGAACCAGCGATCCGGTATTGACGGTGGCGCCCCGCTGTCAATGTCATGGATAGGAAAGTTCAGTATTTTGGAAATATACGGTGCAACGCACACTTATCCAGTGTGCATTGCAGTATGGAGTTTCACACAAAGAATACAGAGGTGGAATTATGTAAAGCAATCGTAATCATTTGACAGTCATAACGTACGATAAAGTTAGTTAAACATAGCGTTTGACGGAACAATCGTACGTTATGAACTGTCAAATGATAACGATTGCTTTACACAATTCCACCTCTGATCGCCTCGAGTTGATACGGTTACGATCCCTTTCCGGGTTAATAAGTGTGCTACGTCCTTTGTCATGTTTTGCTACTTGTCTAGAGGGGCAAGGTCTGACATACCTCGAGTAACTGTTGACTCCGTGCTTCCTTCTCCCGTTTCGCCATCTCTGCCTTTTCGTTTCTCTCTAACTCTCTGACTAGACGAGCCTGCGAAGAAAAAGTATTCATTTAATATTTATTAAGGTGTTTAATAATGATTTTCGTAAACTTCCTTAGCAGACTCATCTTTGTAATGGAACAACGAAAGCACTACTACTTTAGACAATGCATGAATATTTTAGTTATTTAAAATAAGCATACTTATATGACATTCAAATTAAATTAACAAGATAAAGATTATTTTTTAATCAAATCATGTGACATCTTCTCGCTACCTATTAATTTGTTGTAAACAAACAAAACTTAATAACCCGCCAAGTGGCGGTATCACTGCGAGCACAAAGGCGGCTCGCAGTAGGATCCAGGAGCTCGCAGCTAGATACGCGATGACCGTAGACGAGCCGTACTCACTTGAAGGTTGGTTATGTTACATGCTACGTTACGTGCTACATGACAGGTGAGTAGGTACCCTGCTATACCGCCACTCGGTCGGTCGCTGCGATCTCCCTGCAAACCACGCGCGAGCAGCTGATACATTACATGCTACACGGCTAGATGAGTACCCTGCATATCACTGCACAAAGGCGGTTATTGTCACGAGCAATGTGGCTCCGGGAGTTACGCCATGACCTGCTACGTTACGTGCTACATGGCATGTGAGTACCCTGCATAAGGGTTCAGTATGTTACCTGGTCGCGCGATCGGAGACTGGCGTCGCGGCGCGCGTCCCTGGCGGCTTGTTGGCGCCGCGCCAGCTCGATGCGGCGGTCTACTGGTGGAGGAGTTGGTCGAGGACCCGCCAACCGCGCTTCTTCCAACCTTCTCCCGTCTAAAGTCCGGTCGCCGAGCACGTAGCATTTCGTCCAATGACCCCAAGCTAACCATCCTTATTGCTCGCGCGTAATTATATTGCTGTTGCGCTCGCGGCGGCGCACAGTCGCCACAGCAATATAATTAAGGGACTAGGTAAGTGTGTTACCTGGAGCATTATATCGTGGTGTGAGGCCTCGGCGTGTTATAGATCTTTGTAGAATCAATCTACTGCGCTGTAAGGCTTCAGTATGTTTACCTGGTCGGAGTAGCCTACTGTATTGTGGTGTATATAAGTGTGTTGCGAGAATGGTCCACTGTTCAAGCATTATAAAGCAGGGTACTTATCTAGCCGTGTAGCATGGTATCAGATACTGTATCAAGTGAGTACATAGGCACGAGTCAGCTGCGAGCTGCTCGTGCGTGATTCGCAGGGAGATCTCAGCGACCCGCCGAGTGGCGGTATCACTGCGAGCATAAAGGCGGCTATTGTCACAAACACTGCGGATCCGGGAGCTCGCAGCTAGATACGCCATGACCGTGGACGAACTCTCTTGAAGGTTGAACACGTTACATGCTACGTTACGTGCTACATGGCAGATGAGTACCCTGCTTAAGGGTTCAGTGTGTTACCTGGTCGCGCGATCGGAGACTGGCGTCGCGGCGCGCGTCCCTGGCAGCTTGTTGGCGCCGCGCCAATGACCCCAAGCTACCCATCCTTATCGCTCACGCTTAATCATATTGCTGTCGCGACTGTGCGACGGGCGGCCGCAGTGAGTGTGCGAGCGCAACAGCAATTTTTTTTTTCATTTTTTTCATGCATGTGCGATCGTTGTAAGTCCTTGGTTTATCACTGGTCTCTGTATGTGTTACCTGGTCGCGCGACCGGAGACTGGCGTCGCGGCGCGCGTCCCTGGCGGCTTGTTGGCGCCGCGCTAACTCGATGCGGCGGTCTACTGGTGGAGGTGTTGGTCGAGGGCCTGCCAACGCTGCGAGGGCCCGCGCTTCTTCCAACCTTCTCCTGTCTAAAGTCGCCGAGCACGTAGCATTTCGTCCAATGACCCCAAGCTACCCATCCTTATTGCTCGCGCGTAATTATATTGCTGTCGCGACTGTGCGACGGGCGGCCGCAGTGAGTGTGCGAGCCTTGCGTTAGGATACACCTCTTATAATTTTGACGGGGATAAGAATCAGTCTAATATTTATTTGGTCTCACCAGCGCGTTGTACTGCTTCATTGTGGGATATCTGGTCGCTCACTGGAGATTCAAGCATCATAATTGATCGTGGGAGCGGTCCACTGCGTTGTGGGCTGTCATATTGGCGTCACAGCGTGTTATCTAGCTACTAGAGCAGACCTCCGCCCTGTATACGTTACCTGGAGCATTTCATCGTGGTGTGAGGCCTCAGCGTGTTACCTGTGGTCGGAGTAGCCTACCGTACTGTGGTGTATCAGTGTGTTGCGAGAATGGTCCACCCTTCACTGAGCGAGTATTAAAAGGATTTAGTATGTTACGCGCGTCCCTGGCAGCTTGTTGGCGCCGCGCTAACTCAATGCGGCGGTCTACTGGTGGTGGTGTAGGCCGAGGGCCTGCCAACGCTGCAACTTCCAACCTTCTCCCGTCTAAAGTCCGGTCGCCGAGCACGTAGCATTTCGTCCAATGACCCCAAGCTACCCATCCTTATTGCTCGCGCGTAATTATATTGCTGTCGCGACTGTGCGACGCGCGCCCGCAGTGAGTGTGCGAGCGCAACAGCAAGTTTTTTTTTTTCATTTTTTTCATTCATGTGCGATCGTTGTAAGTCCTCAGTTTATCACTGGTCTCTGTATGTGTTACCTGGTCGCGCGAACGGAGACTGGCGTCGCGGCGCGCGTCCCTGGCGGCTTGTTGGCGCCGCGCTAACTCGATGCGGCGGTCCACTGGTGGAGGAGTTGGTCGAGGGCCCGCTAATGCTGCGAGGGCCCGCGCTTCTTCCAGCCTGGAGATAAATAATCTGTTTAATACCTTATTTTAGACATAAAGACGGGTCCAAGCCCTTATCTTGACATACTAACTTCTTCCAGCCTGGAGATAGACAATCTGTTTTATTCCCTTCTTTTGGACATGTAGGCGGGTCCAAGCAGTCCACTTCTTGACATACTAAATAAACTGGTTTACTTCAACTTTGAGTCAAACGCTTTATTTACTGCTCTCTCTTAAACGAGGCTAGTTTTAGAAGGGTACCTCCCCTCTCCTTACCAATACAATTAAGTCACGGCAAAATGAGACTGGTCTGGAAGCACTTTTGGCATTGCTAATGTTCATTGTAGCACGAAATATAGACAAATAATAAGAAAGAATCAAATTGTTTATTTGCCTCTGGTGAATTACAGATGATAATCATGTAGTGGAAACTAAATAATTTAAGATGACAGTAAAAACATCTTCTGATGTCTTCGCTCACCACACCAGATTGTTTCTTGTAGCAGGAGGTACTTCTACGGCCGGTTGGGCGTACTCTCAGCAGTCACATAGCTCGTAGGACTGACGACTAGGGGCCGGAAGATGTATGGGCAGACCTCTCACCCGATGGACTGATCATTATGAAGTTTGCAGGAGGCATCTAGATACGGGCGGTCGTAGTGGAAATTTGGGGGGAAACCATTGTCCAGCAGTGGACGTCCTTTTGCTGAAAGGCTAACTCTACCTCTTAGTGATCTCCTGCTCGTTAAACACCAGCGGCTCAGCAAGCTCGGCTGCTGGTTGCACGTATTCTCCCAACACTGTGCGCGCGCTGAAGCTGAAGCAGTCGGCCGACAGCGCGGGGCACGGGTTTGACTCTAAGAACTGCCAACAAAAAATTAGTAAAATGTTGAGGTCACTGGGAAGGATCCGGGGAAGACGAATGGCAACCCTACTTATGATCGACTCGTGTCGCTACACCGACACAAATTACTATGCGCAAGCGACGAGCTTCTCTAGTCCGTTAAGCGGGCGAATGTCACTTGTTTTTGGAATCTTCGCGTAAGCGTCGCACGTCTTTTGTCCGTAGAGTGGACGGGCGTACGTCAATTTTTTTTCTGGAATTTTCGCGAAAGCGCCGCGCGTCTTTTGTTCTTTGAGATGACTATTCGCATAAGCGCCGCGCGTCTTTTGTCTGTTGATCGAACGGGCGCGCACGTCGCTTGTTTTTCTACATTATTTGCGAAAGCGCCGCGCGTCTTTTGTCCGCTGTACGGGCGATTGTCGCTTGTTTTTCTAGAATGTTCTGGAGTCGGCGAGAGCCAATACTCTTGTCACAATTGTAGACCCTAAGGCGTAGTAAATAAGACTCACCGCCTGCAGCTCGTGCATGCTCTTGATGGCGGCGGCGGCGTGCGGCTCGGGCGGCGAGTAGCTCACGTCGCCCTTGATGCTGCAGGAGCGCGACAGGCCCTTGATCACCGTCACCCTCCAGCCTTATAGGGACCCCAATATACTAACTACACGGTAATACTATCATACTATCCCCCCTATTTTACCCCCATTTCTACTTAGACCACTTTAGAGTTTTCTAAACCTTCACATGGTCCCCATTATGCCGACAGCTCCTTTCTACTTAGACCTTTTTCAGAAAGCAATCGACCTTCATAGGTTTGATAGACACAGGGTTTAGCGACACAAATTACTACGCGGAAGCAACGCACGTCACTACACGAAATCGACGCGTGTCTTTTGTCAATTGAGAGGGCAAATGTCACTTGTTTTTCCACCACACACTTGTCTTTCGTCCGCTAAGCGAGCGGGTGGCGGACGTCGTTTGTTTTTCTGGAATCTTCGCGAAAGCGACGCGCGTCTTTTGTTCTTTGAGATGACGAATGTCACTTGTTTTTCTAGAATCTTCGCGAAAGCGACGGTCGTCTTTTGTCTGTTGATCGAACGGGCGCACGTCGCTTGTTATTCTACATTATTTGCGAAAGCGTCGCGCATCTTTTGTCCGCTGAACGGGCGATTGTCGCTTGTTTATCTAGAATGTTCTGAAGTCGGCGAGAGCCAATACTCTTGTCACAATTGTAGACCCTAAGGCGTAGTAAATAAGACTCACCGCCTGCAGCTCGTGCATGCTCTTGATGGCGGCGGCGGCGTGCGGCTCGGGCGGCGAGTAGCTCACGTCGCCCTTGATGCTGCAGGAGCGCGACAGGCCCTTGATCACCGTCACCCTCCAGCCTTATAGGGACCCCAATATACTAACTGTGCCCCCATTTCCACTTAGAACACTTTTGGATCTCCCCAACCTTACATATAGACCCCAATATGCTAACAGCTCCTGTTTTACTTTCTACTTAGACCTTTTTCAGAAAACAATCGACCATCACAGGTCCACATAAACTATTTGGATAAACGCACGGTGCAACGCACATCACTACGTAACAGCGACGAGCGTATTTTATCCTCTGAGCGGACGATAGTCACTTGTTTTTCTGGAATCTTCGCAAAAGCGACACGCATCTTTAGTCCGTTGAGCACACGTCACTTGTTTCTCCTAGAATGTTCGCGAAAGCGCCGCGCGTCTTTTGTCCATTGATAGGGCTGGCGAACGTCGTTTGTTTTTCTAGAATGTTCCGGAGTCGGCGAGAGCCTATACTCTTGTCATAATTCTAGACCCTAAGGCGTAGTAAATAAGACTCACCGCCTGCAGCTCGTGCATGCTCTTGATGGCGGCGGCGGCGTGCGGCTCGGGCGGCGAGTAGCTCACGTCGCCCTTGATGCTGCAGGAGCGCGACAAGCCCTTGATCACCGTCACCCTCCAGCCTTATAGGGACCCCAATATACTAACTATCCCCCCTATTTTACCCCCATTTCTACTTAGACCACTTTTGGGTCACCTTAACCTTCAGATACATGGATCCCAATATGCTAACAGATCCTTTTTACTTAGACCTTTTTCAGAAAGCAATCGACCTCCATAGGTCTACATACATCACTTAGACACAGGGTTTAGCGACACACATTACTATGCGAAAGCAACGCGTCACTACACGAAATCGACGCGCGTCTTTTGTCAATGGAGAGGGCAAATGTCACTTGTTTTTCCAGTATCTCCCCGGACGTCTTTCGTCCGCTAAGCAAGAGGGTGGCGAACGTCGTTTGTTTTTCTGGAATCTTCGCGAAAGCGACGCGCGTCTTTTGTTCTTTGAGATGACGAATGTCACTTGTTTTTCTAGAATCTTCGCGAAAGCGACGCGCGTCTTTTGTCTGTTTATCGAACGGGCGCACGTCGCTTGTTTTTCTACATTATTTGCGAAAGCGACGCGCATCTTTTGTCCGCTGTACGGGCGATTGTCGCTTGTTTTTCTAGAATGTTCTGGAGTCGGCGAGAGCCAATACTCTTGTCACAATTGTAGACCCTAAGGCGTAGTAAATAAGACTCACCGCCTGCAGCTCGTGCATGCTCTTGATGGCGGCGGCGGCGTGCGGCTCGGGCGGCGAGTAGCTCACGTCGCCCTTGATGCTGCAGGAGCGCGACAGGCCCTTGATCACCGTCACCCTCCAGCCTTATAGGGACCCCAATATACTAACTATCCCCCCTATTTTACACCTATCTCTACTTAGACCACTTTTGGGTCTCCTTAACCTTCAGATACATGGATCCCAATATGCTAACAGATCCTTTCTACTTAGACCTTTTTCAGAAAGTATTCGACCTTCATAGGTCTACATACATCACTTTGATAGACACAGGGTTTAGCGACACACATTACTACGCGGAAGCAACGCACGTCACTACACGAAATCGACGCGCGTCTTTTGTCAATTGAGAGGGCGATGTCACTTGTTTATTTCTGGAAGGTTCGCGAAAGCGATGCGGTTCTTTTGTTTGTTAAGGGTGCGGGCGAACGTCGCATGTTTTTCTAGAAACTTCGTGAAAGTCTTTCGTCCGTTGAGGGAGCGGGCGCACGTCACTTGTTTTTCTACATTATTTGCGAAAGCGCCGCACGTCTTTCATCCGCTAAGCGAGCGAGTGACGAACGTCGTTTGTTTTTCTAGAATCTTCGCGAAAGCGACGTGCGTCTTTTGTTCTTTGAGATGACGAATGTCACTTGTTTTTCTTGAATCTTCACGAAAGCGACGGTCGTCTTTTGTCTGTTGATCGAACGGGCGCACGTCGCTTGTTTTTCTACATTATTTGCGAAAGCGCCGCGCGTCTTTTGTCCGCTGAACGGGCGAACGTCGCTTGTTTTTCTAGAATGTTCTGGAGTCGGCGAGAGCCAATACTCTTGTCACAATTCTAGACCCTAAGTCCTAGTAAATAAGACTCACCGCCTGCAGCTCGTGCATGCTCTTGATGGCGGCGGCGGCGTGCGGCTCGGGCGGCGAGTAGCTCACGTCGCCCTTGATGCTGCAGGAGCGCGACAGGCCCTTGATCACCGTCACCCGTTTCCAGCCTTATAGGACCCTCAGACCCCTCAGATGGACGCCAATACCCCAAGGAGCCCTGTTTTACCCCCACTTCCATTTAGGCTCTTTTTGGCCATTCTACCTCCATTTATATGGACCCCAATATCTCAACAGCTCTATTTTAGTTTCTATAGACCTTTTTTAGATCGCAATCGACTAACATAGACCACTTTGATAGACACAATCTGTAGTGAGTCCACATCTATGCGCAAACGACGCGTTTCTTTTGTCCGATTAGCGGGCGAATATCATTTGTTTTTCTAATGTTCACGAAAGCGTCGAGCGTCTTTTGTCAATCGAGCGAGAGGGCGAACGTCACTTGTTTTTCTGGAAACTTCTCGAAAGCGACGCGCGTCTTTTGTTCTTTGAGATGACGAATGTCACTTGTTTTTCTAGAATCTTCGCGAAAGCGCCGCGCGTCTTTTGTCCATTGATAGGGCTGGCGAACGTCGTTTGTTTTTCTAGAATGTTCTGTAGTCGGCGAGAGCCTATACTCTTGTCATAATTGTAGACCCTAAGGCGTAGTAAATAAGACTCACCGCCTGCAGCTCGTGCATGCTCTTGATGGCGGCGGCGGCGTGCGGCTCGGGCGGCGAGTAGCTCACGTCGCCCTTGATGCTGCAGGAGCGCGACAGGCCCTTGATCACCGTCACCCTCCAGCCTTATAGGGACCCCAATATACTAACTATTCCCCCTATTTAACCCCTTTTAGATTGTAAAATACCCCCCTATTTTACTCCCATTTCTACTTAGACCACTTTTGGGTCTTCCCAACCTTCACATGGTCCCCATTATGCCGACAGCTTCTTTCTACTTAGACCTTTTACAGAAAGCAATCGACCTCCATAGGTCTACATAGATCACTTTGATAGACACAGGGTTTAGCGACACAAATTACTACGCGAAAGCAACACACGTCACTACGAGAGATCGACGCGCGTCTTTTGTCAATGGAGAGGGCGAATGTCACTTGTTTTTCCACCACACACTTGTCTTTCGTCCGCTAAGCGAGCGGGGGGCGAACGTCGTTTGTTTTTCTGGAATCTTCGCGAAAGCGACGCGCGTCTTTTGTTCTTTGAGATGACGAATGTCACTTATTTTTCTAGAATCTTCGCAAAAGCGCCGCGCGTCTTTTGTCTGTTGATCGAACGGGCGCACGTCGCTTGTTTTTCTACATTATTTGCGAAAGTTACGCGCGTCTTTTGTCCGCTGTACGGGCGATTGTCGCTTGTTTTTTTAGAATGTTCTGGAGTCGGCGAGAGCCTATACTCTTGTCATAATTGTAGACCCTAAGGCGTAGTAAATAAGACTCACCGCCTGCAGCTCGTGCATGCTCTTGATGGCGGCGGCGGCGTGCGGCTCGGGCGGCGAGTAGCTCACGTCGCCCTTGATGCTGCAGGAGCGCGACAGGCCCTTGATCGCCGTCACCCTCTAGCCTTATAGGGACCCCAATATACTAACTATCCCCCCTATTTTGCCCCTTTTAGAATGCAATCAACTACCACAGTCCGACATGGGACATAGACTTTGATACATAAAGCAACGCACATCACAACGTGAAAGCGACGCGCGTCTTTTGGCAATTGAGAGGGCAAATGTCACTTGTTTTTCTAGTATCTTCGCGAAAGCACTGAGCGTCTTTCGTCCGCTAAGCAAGCGGGTGGCGAACGTCGTTTGTTTTTCTGGAATCTTCGCGAAAGCGCCGCGCGTCTTTTGTCTGTTGATCGAACGGGCGCGCACGTCGCTTGTTTTTCTACATTATTTGCGAAAGCGCCGCGCGTCTTTTGTCCGCTGTACGGGCGATTGTCACTTGATTTTCTAGAATCTTCTGGAGTCGACGAGAGCCAATACTCTTGTCATAATACTAGACCCTAAGGCGTAGTATATAAGACTCACCGCCTGCAGCTCGTGCATGCTCTTGATGGCGGCGGCGGCGTGCGGCTCGGGCGGCGAGTAGCTCACGTCGCCCTTGATGCTGCAGGAGCGCGACAGGCCCTTGATCACCGTCACCCTCTCCCAGCCCTAT